CATGGTAGGACCTTGAGGAACGATTGTTCCAGCCAGCATAGCTCGATTGGTTCATTACGATGGACAGGCGCGACCTCCACGTCAAGGTAGCAGCAATGGTCGGGCATACCCACTGTAGCACAGATGTTCATTTAGCCGAGTTGCCACACTTTACAAAGCAACTAGGGAAACCCAACCAAATGAGAAAAAAGTCAATATAGTGGTGGAAAACTAAAGAGAATATGTAGTGTGAGGAAAAAAGACTATCACTGAATTTAAGTGTTAAAGAATACACTTTATCCGTGTAACCTTGAAAGAGCAGGTTGCTAGTCTGGACCTGATTTATGTATCGCAGTTTGTAAATTTCAGACAACGTACAAGAAATAGGACAAGCTCATTAATAAACATACTGGGAAATTAGTTATTTTTCACTGCACGGCTTTTATTTATGTTCCTACAGTAAGACCATAAAGAATGTTTCTTATAGATTATGACTTCAGTAATCCATGAAGATTGTTGAACCTGATATCAAGGTATTAGGCATAGTCGCAATTGTACTTTTGTAATAAACTCAATCATGTGAATAAAAACTAATTGTCAATTAGCGTCACTCAGCCACAAAACATTCGTTTAGAGTTCATTTCATCCAAAACTCTAGCAGTCATTCTCACCAAACTTCATCATATGGTTTGTAGTAAAGTACTTCGTCAACTGGATCTGTTACATTACTCTTCATTTTACGTTTGCGCGGAAAAATACACTTGATAACCATACCGCACAGATTTCTTCATTAATAGCAATTATAGTATCTTCAATTTAAGCGTCATTCATTTCCATGGGTCATATTTGTGTTTTTGTTGCTATCTACATAGATCTACAAACAGTGAATATAACCTTGCGCATATTGTTTCGCCCTGAGCCATCTACTCTACCAAAGATTTATCAGAACCTAGGTTTTGACTACGAGGAACGTGTTCTTCCTTCCATTACCACTGAGGTGCTCAAAGCAGTGGTTGCTCAGTTTGATGCAAGTGAGCTTATAACGCAGAGAGAATTGGTCAGTCAGAGAGTGAATGAAGATCTTACCCAACGAGCTTCATCATTTGGTATATTGTTAGACGATATTGCCCTGGTAAATGTCACTGTATTTATTTAGTAAATAATTTCTTTCGTTTCTATTTGTCATTTTCCGACCTAGCATCTCGTTATGGTTTCATACTCTCTTATTATATACTCAGGTTGTCCTTATTGTTTCAAATAACACTGGTTCAAGTGATATTCAAGGCACCGCTTTTCTCGCCGTTAGATGTTCTACTGATTAAACAGTGTCGCATCTGAAATTGGTTACAGTTTTGCCACACTTCCAAAACAGGGCTGTTACAAAGCCCATCAGTCATCGAATATTTATGGTTCCCATTTGCCACATCTCACATCAGCAAAGCTAGAGAGGAAGTTAACGAGACAAGAAGCAATATAGAGGAAATAATATTAAATGAAGCAAGAACTTAGGCATGAAAAATGCCGTTGAAAAGGAACAAATAAGATCAAAGAATTTAAGGTTTTTAGGAAAGAATAGTTGAAGCTGTGCCACTTCAACGGACTCCGCCCCATATCACCTATTACGAGTATTAAGCAGACCCTAGCTAAAGAGCCTGTATGCTTTTTGATAACAATATGAGTTTGTATTAGATCTACGAAATGTGTGTAAGTAAAGAAGAATTGTTAAGCTAATAAGCTAACGTTAGATTAAGAATATAAGATATAAGTAAGGTGTTTTTGTCATTATTATTATTGTTTAATAATGCTTTGTGTGTTATTTATTCTCACAGACACAAATCTCTTTCGGTCGAGAATTCTCAGAAGCAGTAGAAGCCAAACAAGTTGCTCAACAAGAAGCTGAACGTGCACGATATTTAGTAGAAAAGGTAAAATGTTCTTCGGGAGTTGATGAGCAGTTTAAAACTTTCTTTATTTAATTAATTACTACTAAAAGCAAATTCTATCAGACGGTCATTTTAAAACAGTGAAAATTATCAGTCACATTTGTACAGTCGCTTTATACGTTCTGACAAATTACCTCAGATAGATATTCTTTTCAAATTATCATGCTCGTACGAACGATGTAAAACTTTACTCATCAATACATCAATTCAAGTTGGTGAGCTCTCCTAAAATGAATCTAAAAGATAGCTACTTGCTTGATATTATAATATGTACTATACTTCATGTTGGGTGATCAAGTCAAACTAACCGTTGCATTGATTGAAAGTCAGATATTTAACCGTGTACTCTGTCTCTAAGTTAAGTATGTGAAACAACGTATAATTTTTAGCGCAATACAACCTATTAGTGTGTTGTCGATAGTCAGTAAAGATATCGTTTATATGGTAATTACACTTCTTTACTTCGTGATCCCTCTATATTGTCATTTAAATGTAGTTTTGTTATGTTGTAATTCCCCAAGATATTTTATTCTTTCTTGATTCACAAAGGCTGAACAACACAAACTGGCTGCCATTATATCTGCAGAAGGAGACTCAGAAGCGGCAACATTACTTTCCAAATCTTTTGGATCTTCAGGTGAAGGTCTTATTGAATTAAGGCGAATCGAAGCTGCTGAAGATATTGCTTATCAACTTTCGAAAAATCGAAATATCACTTATATCCCTGATGGTCAACATACACTCCTTAACTTGCCTGCTGCACAATAAAGTCTATTTGTTTATCGTGTTCTTTTTATGTAAATGTATGAGATACTTAAATCACCTAAGTTGAGTTTTACCGATTGTACACGATTCATTTGTCTCAGAATTTTAGCTTTTGTACCATAAATCTTTACCTAGTTAATATTCATTTATTCTCCTGTTTATCTATTTAAAGGCTACTATCAGTGTGTGTGATCGTTCAAACTATTTAATTACTATGTTCAATGAATAGACTAAAAACCCAGTGTTATTGCACTGATATAGTTCTGTATGCTTTGGGGAAAATTAGTACCAACAATTTATGTATTTGTCTGAGAACTAGTAGGTTGGTTTGTAGTGTGGATCAGTGTTTTGCTTAATTTTGGAAAGTCAGTATCACATTGGTATTAATATTTTAAGAGGGAATCTCATCAGGACCAAGTATATTATTCTTACCAATTCAAGGATCGAAAACTTGTTAGCCTTTACACTTGGGATATTGATGCAGTGACATTTTATATTCCACGAACCCCCAGTATTTTACTTATTTAAACACGTAAACATTGGTACTATGAGGCACCAAATAGATACGCGCCACATAACCCAATCGATTTACGTAAGGGATGGAGTACTGCCCGGGTGCCCAAACCGGAGCAGCTGGTTTTCTTAGGGGGCCACACTTCGAGCCTTTGGTCTTAAGATCTAATCCACAAGGCAATGGAGTAACGTCAGGAGATGCAGTCCCATGGTAGCCGGTGATCAATATTAGGTTCACACATTAATTGTTTCCTCAGGATCCTGTAGCCTATGTACACTGTTGGTTTGGAGTCAGGGTTTTCCAACTCCGCTAGGTCGATCTTCCGTATCCAGCGACCCGGCTAAAGTGCCGGACATTCGCTTTTCGTCCTCTCGGTTTCGTAAGCAACACCCGTGTGATGAAAAGGCAGTGAGTAGGACTTTCCTGGCAGTGGTTGTATGCACGTGGCCATGTGAGAGTATTTCGAGAGGGAGGGCCGACTCTACCGTACCAGGGCAATATATAAGTGCTAAAATAACCATTTCTTCCATGTCCTCTTTATAGTGATTTCAGGGATTATCACGGAAATCACTGGATATTCGTACGAGGTTCTAAAGTGATAATGACCAACTAACTTGGGCTATAGAGATTAGGTTTCAAGCTTGAACATTACCATACGTATTCGGGTTTTGACAACCAGTTACTTGAACATTACGTTGTTTTTAAATTGTAGAACAATGGATCCCTTCCACAGATGTAAGGAGTTAATCCGAGAAATGTAATATTCATTATATTACGAACAAGCTGATCACATATCCGTTCAGGTCTTTTTTGTACGAAAATTAAAGAAAGTCAAATTAATACACAATTGAACTTTAATTTTCAATAAATATCTTTAAGAGTGTGGTTAGGTTTTTCGAGGTATATTGAGTGAATACATGGCACAAGTCCATGAAGTCACTGACAAGTGGACTGAGCCATGTTGGTAGGTGTAGATCACCTGGTTGGGATCCGTGAGATGATAGCAACCGATGGTTAGAGACTCTGAAGGACATGGCTCAAAATCGTTTGCAATGACGCAGGTGCATCCACTCTTTGTGTTCTCCCAAATTCTAATCTGAATCCTCCTTGTCTTTTTTCTCTTGCCAAAATTATTTCTCTGAATTATACTCTTTAAATAACATCTTCAAACCCTAATGTTTCCGATTACCGCTTATACTCTTACCGCCTCTACCGCTACTGGATTTTAATCGAAAACTGCATCTCTGTGCTAATGTAGTGTGGCAACTCGAACTGATATACGTACGTACGAAGTTCTACGTTGTTACTGACTGACTGAATACATCACATTTTTCAGATTAACTTCATCTTTATTTTACTTATTTCTCTTAGAATGTGGACAGTAAAATGTAGAGTAGGATTACTAGGAAGTATTTGTTTTCATTACCAGTAATGATAGCTAAAAAGAAGGTTATGCAATATATCGTACGTCAATTTTAGAGTATTTTGGAAATGATAAATTTTGTACAATCTAATCAACTTTTACTTTTCTGACCGGTTTATGTAATAAATCCGTGAACTGTTCTGTTTTTTATTAAGAGCAACAAACAGTAATGTCAAGGGTTTCTGTAGTTACTTACTCTTATCTAGTGTATTGTCTATCGTTTTGCAATGTGAAATGTGCATATTTTTTTTTAAGAGAAAAAGAATCAATAATTATACATGAACATTAGTCTATGTATTGTATAGACTCAATGATGTTTCGTTTCACTTTTTATATATAAAACTTCAAGACTATTATAGTTCATAGTGTATTTCATTTATTTATCTTCCATTTTGTTCTGTAGTATTGTCATCGGTGGTAATGCGATTATTCTTGGTCTAGTAGTTATTTCGAATTCTTTTTCATTTGCTTCATCCAGAATATTACTTAACATACCAGCTAAAGCATCTTCAATTAACCATTGAATAGCCGGATTCCTAAAATGATTAGAACATGATTTAAAAAAATATTAATTATTTTATTGGTAGGAAGGAGGGAGGAGGAAAAGGTTGTGGAGCTTATGTATAACATGTAAGTACCTTTTTTAAATTAGTTGGGAAATCATTTAAAATCAGGGAACATTGGATTAGTGGCTTGAGACTTTAACATCTAACTACAAGTTCATTCACACAAAAAATACATGGAACCACTGAATTTCGACTCAGTGGTGTGACATTCATCTCAGATTTAATCTGATGTAGGCTGATAAATACTGAGCTAGGAAGAAATGATTACCATTCATAAGCTGTTAGTGATTGGATGTTAAGTAAATTATATTCCGACTGTAGACGTCATCTTAACACTGGTTAGGCTTGTTTATCGTGATGATCCAGTCGAGTTAAATCAGTTCATCGAAGTCGCATCACACTATATAGGTTGGCTAGAGAGTAGTAAGACTAAAGGCATCAAATGTAAGGTCAGGGCTATGTCGTACTCGAAGTGGAGTGTCGTGTCAGCATAAAGCCTCCTACGGACAATCAGCATCTCCAACCACATTACATTTCCAAAGACCGGAAAAGAGGTTGGGGATGACACGTACTAAGGACAGTACTCTTCATCTTAGAGGAAGTGAATTCTGAAAATTGAAAAGCTAGTTCAACATAGATCCACAGAAATGCTGTATAACTGGCTACAAGCATTTGTCTCTCGGCAACTGCGTTCAAGTTCTCAGGTCAAGAAGACTGCTAGTTGCCCAGATTGCTCTATAGGTCCCCCATAAAAAATCTCTACGATAATGAGGTGGCTGTCCAAATGTGGTCTAATATTGATTGGTTCATAATTTTAATGAAACTTAACAACTTCCACAAATATATACAGACAAATCTGGTAATACTTAGGCTTATCTTATTTTTACGATACACATGATATGCACAGATTGTTTGATGTTTAATCGTTACGGGAAATTGATCGTGTTTACTGACGCTTACTTCCATTTTAGGCAGGGGGAAGAATAAATATACAACTTACTGTATGCACATACTGTCAGCAGTTTCTTTATTTATACTTTTCATATCTTGTCTATTAGTTTTCTCTTGAACTATTTCAGGTATCCAATTATTTAAGTGATTTGTTGTTTTGTTTATGTCATTTATATAATTAATTGATAATTCGTTAGGTTTATAACAATTATCTGATTTTATTTGTATCCATAATGGGACTGGATCATCATCGTCATCATCATCAACGATGATTTCATTGTTGTTCAATGATGATGATGCATGAATGATATTCTCAGATGGAATAACAATATTTTGGATAATTTGTACAAATTCATTATTAAATATTAAACTATCTATTAAAGATGTTATCAAATCAGTGAATAATTGTTGATGTAAGTTCCAAATATGATCTTGTATTTTAGTTGAACTGATTGCTTTAGCAGCTGAATGATTAGAATTAAAAAATTGTGCACTAAAGAAAAGAGAAAATTAATTTGAAAAAGGAATATCTGTGTATTAGATTTTATGTAGGTAATTGGTAAAACAATCCACTTTTTTAGTTTTAACATCAGTGTTGATAATATAGGCTATCACGACGGTATCAGAAAGGGATTTGGGAACTATAGTCAACTAGATAGTGACACGCCCCCAAATGCCCTGGTACGGCCGAGAGTGGGGAGAGTCCACTCTCCCCCTCGAAATGCTCTCACATGACCATGCGTATATAGCCTCCGCCAGGGAAGTCCTACTCACTGCCTTCTCGTGACGGGGGTGTTGTTTACGAAAATGAGAGGACGAAAAGCGAATGTCCGGCGCTTTTACCGGGTTGGTGGATATGGAGAGTTCACCTAGGGGAGTTGGAAAACCCTGATCCTAAACCAATGGTGCACATGGGCTCCAGAATCCTGAATGAACAAATGGCGTATGAACCAATCGTTGGTCACCGGCTACCATGGGACTGCATCTCCTTACGTTTCTCCACTGCCTTGTGGATCAGACTTAAAGGTCGAAGGCTCTGGGTATGGCCCCCTAAGAAAACCAGCTGCTTCCGTTAGGGCAGCCGAGCAGTATCATAAACCCTACACATATCAATTGAGATCTGTGGCGCATATGTATTTGGTGCCTCCTTGTACCAATATCTTTATGTTAAAATAAATAAAAGATAGTGACATAAAGATGTAGCGTATAAAATGCATAACTATAATATTTCAAATGAGATTTTGTACATATACTACCCATGTGAACATGAATAAGACTTGCTGTTTTCAAGCAATAATAGCGAGTAGCTCTATAATGTGCATCCGTTATCATTAGGTGTACAGTTTTTCTTCCACTTTGCTCAGCTATTCTCCATCCCAATGGGCAGTTGATTGGAGGTCTCTATCTTACACTTGTTGGTAGGACATGCTGGCGAAGACATTCGTGGAGAAAATACAATTGTTCTCGAATGGAAGCCTGCCTTTTGGCGAAATTCTCCTATCCGTTGTTCGAAAATGGGAGTGAGTAGTTCGCTTAGCTAGTAAGGCAGATTTACACATGTACTGTAATAAGAGAGAAATCAGGTGTGCTAAAACAGTGCTTTCATAAAATATGAAAAACACTAAATACATTCACATCTTCCATCAGTTGTCCTTCTCGTACTTCATGATTCTCCCAATTACTCCCTGTTTCTCTTCCTGTTCACTTTATATCGATCTTCGACGGGGAGGCATTCTACTTCTGACTGCTGCTACATATTACTTATATCTGTCAGCATAAGCAAAATACACAACAGTACTACTATATGGTCTGAATAATTTTATTGGACAACTTATTCTGCCGTAAAGACCAATCAGCGCAAGTCATTTTTTAATGGTAATCGTAAATTGGTACATATGGGAATTTTAGATAAAGGAGTCTTGTGGAAATTGTTTTCTGAAGTTGTAAATGATATTTGCCATCAATTGGTTTCAGTTGGGATACTGCTGAGAACCAGTGGGTGCTTGGCAGATGTCGGGCTTTTCGGCAACCTACAACTACAACCTCACCAAGGATCAGACTAAAGAATTCTAAGTCTTGTGACAAGTACCTAACTGTTAGAAAACTTTGTTAGCAACCGTTTCATTCCACTGGTTACAAATTTCCACTAAAAAGATTTAGAAACTCGTTCAGACCTAAGTAACTGGCAAGCTGACTATTATAGTTAGACTAAACGACTATTGTGGCGATCGTTTTTAATTTGTAGGTGTTACAAATTAATCAGTTAGTTTGCTATTGAGTACTAAGGTTTTGATCCCTGGTAAGGTCATTATTGCACACTATTAAGGAGTTCCTTACTAAGACTACACAGTTGTCTAGTTCTTTTTGGTTTTCAATGGTACCTCGATTGAAATCAATTCGTGACGATTGTCATTCACAAATTGATTAATAATCATAGAACATATGTTTTCTTATATCACTGCCGCTTGGTAAAAGGACGTGGTGAGGTTAGCAGTCATATTTATTGTCAGTTAATGCGTCAGTGCAATACATACTTATTGTGATATAATTTCACTCGATCACTTCAGTTTGTCAAAAATGGAGGAAATCCCAATTATATAGTGATCGTTCAATTTCAACTCAGAATAAAATGATTTCACCTAACTGAATGGTCAATGAGATCTAATGTTTAGCCTACCTAAAATTATATAACACAACAACTACTCGAGAAGTTTTGTTGAAATAAACATCTAATCTGGTGATTTCCGATTTCATATGTCTACTTATATATCGTTAAAGCAACCCATACTTTGAAGGTTAAAGTAGGAACGTTTGTTTTAAATGAAAATCAATAGATGTGGAAGTACTTGGGACTCACCAGTAATAAATCTATACATATATACCTCTTCAGAGGTCTTATTCTATCATTATATACTCAACACTTCGTTGTTATATTGATCCTCTCCATCACCTCAGTGTTCGTTCTCTAGTTTTTGAGTTGCCAGTTGATGTCTCTACAATTAGAGCGTATCTCTTACTTTTATTACCAGAGTGTTGAGACCCTAAGCTCTTGGGTTCGACTCTTGGTAGGGTCGTGAATGAGTACTTCTTGAGAAGTCCCATACTAGAATGGAACGACTGTCCAATACTTCCTTGTCAAAATATGATTTATATTACATTAATTTCCACAAATTACCTATATTAAAAATATTTTACTTACTAGTCAATGAATGATGTTTTCCCTTCATCATTTACACCATAGATTTTTGCAGCTTCATCATTGATTATTTCCGCACTGATTGTGAGGTAAACGTAAACTGGTTTGGTGTGAATTGGTTTTGGCCATTTTTGACAAAGCTCATCTATATCAATCTCATCTGATTCTGATGATATGGCTTCTGGTTTCGCTTTCTTTTTTCTTAAGTCATTATCTGTTACTGTAAATTCAACTTTCAGTCTATCTATTTCGGATTGCCAAGCCTTTAATTCTTCACAATATTTGTTCTCTTCATGTTCATCGACTAACTAAATGATAAAAAAATGTAATAATAGTCGTTGTCATGGTGAACATGTAACTTATTCGTCTAGGAGTTGAGAGCGCCCTTAGAATCAATGCTTGAATAGTATTTTAACCTCTACACATTAATCAGAGCCAGAAATATATGTTATTGACTCTGATCTCTGCTGACTGCCCTGTCTTTCAGCGTCGTGTAAACCACTGTATATACTGTTTTGTTTACTAGTTGATAAACATTGTTACAGTATTCTCCGAGTTTAGAACTTTATTGGTTAACTTATTGAACAAGTGTAATTTAACATTTATTTATGTATGACGATTAAGTGGTTATCGTGGTACTTGGTATTGTGGTTTGCGCTATTGATATCGACAGATATAAGTAGTATGTACCACCAATCGAAAGTAGAATGTCTGGAGGCAGAAGGTTAAGAAGATCGAAGAGAAAAGAATGAGAACAGTGAGTGATTGGTGTGAAAACGAAGGGACAATTAAGTCTGAGACATTTAGCAAATGAAGTGTTTACTATACTGTTCTTAGATTCTACTAAGATGTTCTGTGCTGCTGTATTAAAATACATTTGGTGGTCCCCATTTGTATGCTCTTGTTCATTACAGTTTGACTGTTCACAATAATAGTTTAATGTTCACCTGCATAAACAGTTAGTTTATGTGTAAAATGACATAAAATATCGTCCAAATATTAATAATGATATATACAAGCTTATAAAAAATGGTTTTACTTTAGCAATTCGTTCATTGTCATTCAAATGACAGTAAAATGCAGTGACAACAAGAAGTTTTTGTAACGACAAAAACATATATGTGTACATTAAAAGAATCTGACGGCATATGTAGCTAAGGAGAAGAGGTATAAGAGCACTACAATGTTATACAACTCATGAAGTATCTAATGGCATAAGCAGACAGATAACCACCATCAACATGGAGTATGGTATAGATGGGTTTTGCAGAAGTTATTACGCCAGATTAGCAAGATGAAATGAAAATAACAAAGATCGAAATAATGTAGTGTTTCTACATTTACTTATACCTGTTAGCCCTAATGGAGAAGCATAGGTTGACGACCAAGATATACCAACAGAGTTTGTCCTCTATTCTCCTTTCATGTTGTTACAAATTTTTTTATTTATTCCTTAGATGTCTGCTTCCGATTATCGGCGCAGTGTGTTCATTGGTCTTCCTCTTTTCCGTTTCCCTTCAGGATTCAAAGTTAGGCTTTACCTTGTGATGGACTTTGGTGATTTCCACAATTTATGTTCCACTCACCACATAAACCGTCTTCTTCTAACTTCCTCTTCAGATGGAAGCTGGTTTGTTCTCTCCCATGGACATTACGTAACTTGTGTAGACAAGTGCTGATAAATGACTAATTTTTTTATGATGATTGTGGTTGTTCTCGAAGTTTCAGCTCTATACAGTAGGACTGTCGACGTTCGTATAGGAGATTCTGACCATCAATATTGGTTGACAGTTGTTTTGAGTTCCATATTTTCTTCGGTTGTAGGAATGCTGTCCTTGATTTGCCAGTCCTTGCATTTACGTCTGCATCCATATCCTCCTTGTTCATCGATGATGCTATCCAGGTACGTGAAAGTCCCCACCGGTACCAGAGTTTCTCCATCAAGTGTGATTGGTTTGGTTTGTGTTCTCCATGTTGCATTTTTGGATGTTACTTTTCCCTTGTGTATATTGATGTCTACTGATATAGAGGCTGCTGCTACCACACTGTCTGTCTCCAATTGCAATTGTTGGTGTGCATGGAATGGAAGAGTTAGGTGATCTTCGAAGTCCAAGTCGTCTAGTTGTATGCAAGCTGACATGGTATTCCGTACCTCCACTCAGATGTCGAGGTCTTCATAATCCAATCAATCACCAGAAGAAAGAGAAAGGTTGAGAGCAAGCAGCCTTGTCTGACACTGGTCTCTACTTGGAGTGGATCAGTGAGCTGTCCACCCTGCACGACATGACAGTTTAGTCCGTCGTAAGAATTCCATATGATAATGTTAATCTCTTTCTCTACTCACTCCAAAATGTTAAAGGAGATTCCAAATCGTTTTTATCCCCACTGTTAAGTACTTTCTCATAATGAGGCGAGCTGATGCCTGTTGACGAGCTCCATTCAATTGATTGTTCAACAGTGAACCGTAGTGTCGCGATTTGTTCGGCAAGCTATCGATACTTAAGGAATCCAGTCGTTATTATTATAATTAGCAGTAATTCATTAGCAGTAACTAAACTTAGGGGTGTGATATGAAAAGACGGAGTGGTAGAGATGAAGGGATATTGGGATTAAAGATTGCGAGGCTGATATTTTCAGGGTTTTGTTTTAAAATGTATTGATGTGGCACTAAATATTATACTGAACGTTATAGATACATTATAAAGAATTTATTTGAATGTATTTACTTTCCTGCATCAAATCAAATACTCTTTACATTGTACTTACTACTTATTATTTATTTCACATAAAGTAGTATGCATAGTGCAAGAATTTTGGTGGAGTTTTGTTCCCTGAGCTGGATGGTTTGGTCGTGGAGCTTTCATCGTTCTTCTGAACGACATCATCAGCACAAACTTCAGACAGAAGTTTATCTGAAGTTTGTGCTGATGATGTCGTTCAGAAGAACGATGAAAGCTCCACGACCAAACCATCCAGCTCAGAGAACAAAACTCCACCGAAATCATCCACCTGAGCTACAAATCTCCACCATCTCATAGTGAAAGAATAGAATTATGCATATTATCTGGCTGTTGTTTAAAGTATTCGTTAAAATTAATGATATCACTTATCGATGCATTTAAAGATGTACAGTAGAGATGTGTAATAAATATTAATTATCTTTTTATGGATTATATTATTTGTATATTTATTTCATATAGAAGTGAAGTTGAGACATTGTATTAGATCATAATTCCATGTTAGTCTGTTCATCGAAATGAGACAAACAATCTACAGATCATCAACATAATATTCGATTAACTGAATTTTAAAGTTAATCAATTAACAAGATCTGAGAATTATTCAAGCTGTTTTCGACCCGGACGTGGTTGTAGAGACCAGATATTCACACTACGTCAGGTCCTAGAACATAGACACATATTCAGATGCCCCATAATCGTAGTATTTCTCGACCTTAAGGCAGCATTCGACTCTGTTGATCGTGAGGTTCTGTTGCAGTGTTTGTCATTGAAAGGAGTACCAAAGAAGTACATTAACTTTATAAAGGCTATCTACTCGGACACAACTGGTTGAATGAGAGCTTATGGCGAACTGTCATCAGAATTGATTACCTCAAGTGATGTCTGTCAGGGATGTCCACTCTCTCCGTTCCTGCTTAACTTTGTCGTTGACGTGCTTTTAGAAATGACACTTTCCTCATCTAGATTTCCAGGGGTTGAACTTCTACCGGGAGATTCACTTGTTGACTTAGAATATGCCGATGATACAGTTCTATTTGGTGAAGACACTGACAAGATGCAGAGTCTTCTTACCACTCTAAGAAACAATGCAAGCATGTTCAGCATGCGATTCCTTTCCTCGAAATGTAAAAGGTTGCTTCAGGATTGGGTGGAGTCGACACCCGAACTAATGATAGAGAGTGAAGTAGTTGAGAGTATCGACTGCTTCACTTATCTTGGAAGTCTCATCAGAGGATATTCGTAGGTTACCAGTATTCGATCATAGGTGTCTTCGAAACATTGCTCGTATATCCTGGAACCAACGAGTAAGTAATGCAGTTGTAAGGAAACAGGTGATAGGTATGGCAAGTCAATTGATGAAGTAGTAAAACTTCATCAGTTGAGATAGCTGGGAAATGTGTTACTTATGTCCAACCATCGACTGCCCCGATGTGCGATGTTTCATGGTGTAGGAGTAGGTTGGAAGAAAGCTAAGGGCGGCCAGACCAAAACATGGCACAAAACCATGGAGTCACTGACAAGTGGGCAGAGTGCTTCATGTTGGTAGGTGTGGACTACCTGGTTGGGATCCGTGAGAAGATAGTAACCGATGGTTATAGGCCTTCAATGACATGGACCAAAATCGTTTGCAATGACACAGGTGCATCCACTCTTTGTGCTCTCCCAAATTCTAATCTTCTAAATTCTTCATGTCCCTTATTTTCTTTCCAAATTTATTTCACTGTATTATACTCCTTGAATGACATCTTCAAATCCTAATCTTTTCAATTACTGCTTATACTCTTACTACCTCTACCACTATGGGATTTGAATTGACAACTGCATCTCTGTGTTAATGTGGTGTGGCAACTCGAACTGATGTACGTACGTACGTACAAAATTGTACGTTGTTACTGACTGACTGACAATAAAATTATATGCTCAATCATTACATTTCATTAAAATAAATTTGTTTTCAGCTAAATTATGAGCTTGGTCGGTGCACAAGTAAATGATTGCAAAATTTTTATCCTTGATCCGTAGAATTCTTCTACACATGAGCTTTGAACGGTAAAGTAGAGGAGCGTAGTGAGAACAGAAGCTTCACTTCAAGGTTAATTTATGAACAGAAAATAACATCATTTATTAATGTACGGATGATCTTAACCTTCTGGAAACTTCTGACAGAGTGCTAAATTTAGTATCGAAAGAGTGTGGAATATAATCTATCCATGTACTAGATTGTTCTGGGAATTTTCAATCAAATATTAATTAGATATGATGTTTCAGTCTTTTCTTGGCTTCTGTAGACTTTATAGAGGAATACTCAAGAGATCTCAACAAAAATCATAGGGAATATCAAATATTATAGGATTGTAGAAATGAATTGCTGACAGGTGTTAACTAATATGAAGTCTATGCCCACAGTTTCTTGATAGTTCCTCCAAAAATCTTAGATTAAAGAATATGGAATATGGAAAATCTATATAGATTGCACTGGTTATTTAGTTTACCATGTTCAATAGTCCTTTGTTAATCGTCATTTAACATTTTCAATACCTAAACTATTTTTATTGATACAATGTAAATATGTTAGATGTTCAGAGGTAGTTAACCGCCGATTTTAAATCTAGGTACTATGCAGGTTAGGGCTGCCTATCGAGTATGAACCGATGTTAGCTAACTTCACATTCTTAAACATAACCAATAAACTATTGTAGCCGAGATTGACCTTCTGTAGTACTGTGGTATATGCAATTGAGTGATCATTAAATAATGACCAATCTTAGGTTTTTTCTAGTCTTTATTTGCTCAGATCAGATCCTATCACTGTCAAAAAGAGAATCATAACAATCATAAAAGAAAATTGAAAGATACATAAAGAATTTCGACTGTTTTTGTTACCACTCACTTCACAAATTAGATTTATCTCAGTAAAACGTGGTAATCCACTAGCTGTAAAAGTAATCAGTTCTTGAATTGTTTGACCTGGTCTAATTCTCCCTATTCTTGGATTAATGTTAACAATCTAAAAGTCATAAGAGGAATAAAAGGGTGATAGAAATAAATGATCAACATACATTCTTATAGTTTTCTATACATAAGAGACTAATAATAGGTGAAATTAGTATAATTAAGCTCAAATTCGAAGTAACTCTATAGATGATGATGTTTGTCAATGATACTTTTTATCAAGAAGGTGTTGGGGTGATCCAGAAAATTGCTTGCAAAAGACAAGCAAGGATCAGGAAACACTAAGAAGCGTTTCCTCCAATCAGCGTTCACTTGAAGTTTTGGCCAAAAATATCAAGGAAGCGAAACGTCACATGCAGAGGTTCTGATTAGCTGATTGCTAGACTGCTACTATATTTAGTAGCATTCCAAAATCTTTCAACCCAAGGACATCTAAAAATATTATAAAAACCCTATATTTTCTGTGTTAAAATGAACCTTGGAGTAAACTACTTCTCGCATACTTTGCGTCTTCTCTCTCACGTCCAGGTCACTGTATAGTTCTAGCTTGGGGGTTACAGAATAGCTTAGGAAACAAATATAGCGTTCAGTTCTCAAGACTTATCAGAAGGATTTGAATTATCAAACTAAACTAAGAGACAAGAAGTTGATAATCATAATTATTTGATGAAATTCTTGACTTTACGAAATCGTTATTCAATGGACTGCGAATATCAGAATACATGAACCAGGAAACATAAATCGATCATGACTGGAAATATGCCATAATGAAAGGTGCAAGTAGAGTGCAAGGGCATTTGTCTCACTCTAGTATAATAATTTTTAGTAATGTTAACCCACAACTCTTCCAGAGATCAAATCTTGGGCATTTAAATCTCATAGCCAAGATCGTTCAAAAGTATCTAATATGAGGCACTGTTACCAAGTAAGGGAAAGGCAGCGCGACCTCACAAAGTAACTTTAAAATTGTCAAAGGATAGTGACTCAATTTTAGCAGTTAGGTTGATTGATATATAAGCTGAAGTCTTAGAGCTGAATACAACCAAATATGACTAATCTTAATCGCTAATCTTTCCAATTTATATGAAAGAACTGATATAATCTTGTAATAATATATGGAGGAATCAATTTGACTAATACATCGTCGAAAATATTGACCTCAATATTCATCCAGTGCTTAGCTAGGGCTCATAGTCATCAAATCCGGTAAAACCGGGCTGCTTTTGTACACACACTTGATCACATAGATCAAATATTCTCTCATTGTTAGATCTTCGAGCTTAGGAAAACTTTAGAACGTTCAACAATAGTGACGTTTCTTGATTTGAGTCTTAGCATTATTTGTTAATCTTTATTCTTCAAATTTATTTCTACTTTTTGGAAAATATTCGCTAATGTTTAATCTTTCTCACCAATACTGATACTACCATCACTTTGTCTGTTACTGATCACTTTTATTTTGTAGTGTCGGTTATTATGTTAAGCCCATATACCTTATTCTATCTTTCGGACAGCCCATTCTATTCATTCCACTTGAGTCACATTCTGACCTTGTTATTCATTCGCTTATCAATCTTGACTGTTTTTATATGAGCTCGTAGGTGTGTGTACATTTCTTATCCCATTACTCATCGCATGTCTGTAAATTACTTTTGTGTAACTATAAGTACTGATTAACACTTGGTTAAATGGGTGTTGGCTTACCAGCCATCTTCACTCTGCGTCGTATCTCTTCTCTCTATTCCATTCCCTTCAGATACAAAATATATGTATTCACAAGTCCATTCTTGTTATTCGACATATTTGAATCTGTTATTGACTAACGCGATTTAAGTCGATGATTATATACGAGGATAGGCGACATATATATATTTCAACAACAATCATCATTACGACCAATTTGGAGTCAGATCCCGGGACACTAAACACTCTCTATTTTCCCTTAAACTATGAGATTAAAATCGCTTCATATCTTTCATTCTACCAACTAATTCTTTCTTCCTATACTATGTCCTTATATGAAATCTTTCTTTTATAAATTACCACCATTGAATTAACTACTTCTATGAATCCGGTGTTCATCTTGTTATGCTAATGAAATATGGCAACTTGGACCAATGCATATATTTGCCTGGATGATAAACTAATTTTGAATGAGCTATTAACATCAGTAAAAAACAATTCACTTACCTTCATATCATTTGGAAATTCCGTAAACCATCGAAATCGATAAACTGATCGATTATTAATAGGTAATCGATGAATATCAGAGCTAAATCTATTTGTCATATGAATTAAACGTCTACAACGTGTTCCAATAATAATACGATGTAATTCTATTAAATGATGTGATAAACTGACCCATGAATCAATTGGAGTTTTAATTCGACGTGCAAGTGGAGGAAAATTTCGAAAAGTCAAATCATCCTCATCCATACTATCATTGTTAGATTTAATGATTGACTGTCGTTTTCTATCCAAAGAGATTATATGATTCTGTAAAATAAGGCAAATATTATACTGTAAACTCATTTTGCTTTTGGATAGGATCTCAGGTGTTATTCATTTAAAAAGGATAAAACGAAATTTGCAAAAAAGTTTATTTGGTTTGTCGTAATGTGCTAAAAATATCTGTGATCTGTTCAGCAAATGTTCAAACAGCTGTTAAACATAAGATTTGTGATGAAACTAGACAAAATCTGTTAGGATAATTACAAAGTATTGAAGATGTCAACATCTCGGGGCAAGTAGGAGATGCAGTGGACAGCTAGAATGTAGCTGGACGATCTAGACTTCTCAGATGATCTGGCTCTTCTATCGCACACGCAACAACAAATGCAGGAGAAGACGACCAGTGTAGCAGCAGACTCAGCAGCAGTAGGTCTCAAAATACACAAACGGAAAAGCAAGATTCTTGAATACAACACAAGATGCACCAATCAAATCACACTTGATGAAGAGATTTTGGAAGATGTAAAAACTTTCACATATCTGGGCAGCATCATTGATGAACACGGTGAATCTGATGCAGATGTGAAGGCGCGGATCGGCAAAGCAAGAGCAGCACATTTACAACTGAATAACATTTGAAACTCAAAACAATTGTCAACCAACATCAAAGTCAGAATTTTCAATACAAATGTCAAGATAGTTTTGTTGTAAAGGGCGGAAACTTGGAGAACGACCACAACCATCATCCAGAAGATACAAGTGTTTATTAACAGTTGCCCATGCAAAATACTTCGTTTCCGTTGGTTAGACACCAATAACGACAACCTATTGTAAGAGGGAACAAATCTAATCCCAGCGGATGAAGAAATCAGGAAGAAGTGTTGGAAGTCGATAGTATACATATTGAGGAAAGCACCCGACTGCGTCACAAGGTAAGCCCTCACGTGGAATCCTCAAGGCCAAATGAGCAGAGGAAGATCAAAGAACACAGTTCGCCGGGAAATGGAGACAGACTGGAGAAGAATGAACAAGAATTGGAGGGAACAATAGACCATGTAGCATATGATTTTAAGTTAGTTTCGCATATTCAGTCCTTATAGAATATGTAAAAAAGTATGAACTCCGTCTGGAGTCCCTCCCGGGGCTACTACCGGTCCCAAGCCCGGATAAAGGAGGAAAGTTGGGCATGGGGTTAGCGAACCCACCCCGTAGAAAACTAACTCGCTAAAAAAACGCTAACCAGAAAAAATTATTCAAACCATTCAAGCTCTGCCCTGGGAGTCAGAAGGTCTTCATCTCGAAGAACTATCACGCTTCATGATGAAAGCCGATTTCCTTCGGAAGTCACGAGGCCGATGCCCCTTCTGACAACCAGAGCAACCATTTATTTAGGCACATTAAATACTCGTACAATGTGGAACACCGGGAGAGTCTTCCAAATTGTTGCAGAAATGAGGAGATACAATCTAGAGGTGCTTGGGACCAGTGAAACACATTGGACGCAGGTTAGACAACAACGGCTAGCTTCAGGGGAGCTTTTGTTATACTCCGGCCATGAGAAAAATGGACAAGAATTGGATGGAGTTAGAAAAGAAAGCCCAGGACAGAGTGGGTTGGAGAATGCTGGTCGGCGGCCTGTGCTCCATTAGGAGTAACAGGCGTAAGTAAGTAAAAAAGTATGAATTCATTGTTTAAATGGTTTATGGCTACCAGTGTGATCCAGGACGCGTGTCTTGTGCTATCTGAAACTCGTTAGCTTAATACCTGTGAATCCCAGTCATGATATTCACAACCAAAGTGGAAATCAGTCCATTTTTATTCAGACATCTAATGCGTTATCCACTGGGCTACTGAACACAAATTAACACTCACTCGTTCTAAAGTTATGATATTTAACCATTATAAGAAAAATGGCTGTACAGTAACAATCTACACATGGATATATATTCACCAACAAAGGCTGATTGAATTTAAGTCAGTCTTCTCAATACTGGACATAGGGTGGTGAATACCTGAGTAGTTGCATCATAGAGTTGAGTTGTTGTTCAGGTCATAATGTTAGTTGTGAATGATAAGCATTGGGATAACTTATCTCTTTGTGATTGTGCAGTAAATAATATTGATTGGATATCTGTCACCAACACATTGATGTTTTGATGTTATAATTACCAAGGTTTTTCGAACTATATATCTTTTACATGTTAAAAGGCGTAACCTTTAGAATTTTACTTTATTATTTTACAAGACTAGAACCAAAAACAATGAATAACCAATTTGATGGAAGTCAATAGAATAATACACCTACATAATTATAGATAGTTAAGTCAACTACAATAATGAAATAAGCAATCAGATATTACTAGTATAGGGGTTGTGGAGATTATTAAGTTTTTGATTGAGATCATGAACCGATTAATGTTAGACCGTCACAATTGAAAACCTAGAAGCACTGGACAGCCGTTTCGGCCTATCACCATTGGATGCCGGCTCAGTGGTCCAGTTGGTTAAGCGTTCGCGTGCGAGACCGAAGGCCCTGGGTTCGAATCCCGCTTGCGGGATCGTGGATGCGCACTGCTGAGGAGTCCCACAATAGGACGAAACGGCTGTCCAGTGCTTCCAGGTTTTCAATTGTGATGGTCTAACATTAATCGGTTCATGATCTCAATCAGATAATAATCATCTATTTAGGGTCTGGAACGAATATACATACCGGTCAGGTTTATCGTTATCTACGTTAACATAGTAATAAGGGGAATTATCAGAACAAAAGGCAAAAAAATGGTAAAATAGTATTAAATGTATTAAAGACCTGAACTTTAAGAGAATAGTTGAAAAGAAACTGAAAATGTTTTAAGAACAAAACTGTAAGGATGTTTCCTATCTGACAATTTGGAGCTAGAGGAATATTGCAACTGAGCTGTTGGAATCAATTTTATGCTAAGGCATCTAAAGCTTTTAAATACTGATTACAAGTGGGTTGAAAGTAGACTGAGTGAGTCATGTTGGTAGGTGTAGACTACTTGGTTGAAATCCGCGAGATGATAGTAACCGATGGTTAGAGACCTTGAATGACATGACTCGAAATAGTTTGCAGTGACGCATTTGCATCCACTCTTTGTGTTCTCCCAAATTCTAATCTTCTGAATTCTTCATATCCCTTTCTTTTTTCTTTGGATTATACTCCTTGAATAACATCTTCAAACCGTAATCTATCCGATCACTACTTATACTTTTACTACATCTAGCACTATGGGATTTGAATGGACAACTGCATTTCTGTGCTAATGTGGTATGGGAGCTCGAACTGATGTACGTACGTACAAAATTCTACGTCGTTACTAGCTGACTGACTGACTGACTGACAAGTGGGTATGGACACTGACTAAAACGTCTAAACTTACGTGCATAGCTCAGATCAGCAATTATTGACTTCATGAATTCATGACATACTCTCATCTTACCGCTAGTAATTGTTTAAAAAAAAGTTAATTCCATGTTAGACATCACTGCATATTATAGATAGTTAGGGTTATTATTATTATTATTATTAGCTTTATTCAATATTATAATTTTGGTACAATATAGAATTCTCAGCGCAAAGTATTTCAACAAGTTTCCGTTTCTTTCTTCTTGGTCGGTGCTGGCGATAAATATTGAGGGATCGTCAGTTAGATGTTAGCACTTCAGTGAATGAACAACTGAATAATGTACATTCTTTTCGTTGTATATTGCCAGCAACCATATTGTCTCTTATTGAGTTTTCTGTAACTTTGACAACGAAAGGTTGTACACTTTTCAGAAACGCAGCAGAATAGGTTATGCGATTAATAAACATAATGATATATTAAAACAAACAACAATAGATAACTTGTTGAAATATCTAGATGGCAGGAACAGGTAGCCCAGATGCTCAAGCAGGCCGCCCTAGGTTGATTCATATGTGATGCCTACATATGGTACCCATATTAATTAATTTACTTTTTCTATTCAATAATCTATATCTAACATTAGTATTTGGCAAGAATCATTTGTATACTACTTATAAGTATTATCAATCAGAGTGCACAAAAAAAACACTCGTGAAGCTTAGAATTGCATACCTACTTTAAGCTGTTATGAAAAATAGCACATCTAAAATTCATATAAACAATCTATTTATGTGTATAATTACTTCAATAGCAGTTGGAATTCGAACACATTGTGGATTCGCTATTATTTCTTTAGGTCCCAATTGTTTTGGATCATATCCAATTGCTACTAATTCTAATAGAATAGTATCAGAATAGACTGATTGATTAGTAACTGACGGTAGTTCAGCATCCACAATATGAATATAACAATAAGCCTGAAAGTTATATACAATTCATTATATTGAATATGATTAGAAAATAATCACGTAAATATTTATAACAAGTTCACGGAAAGCTGAAGACTTTAATTTCATGTAGTGGTTAGTATAGATTACCAAGATCTGTAGTGACCTACTTTTATCAAGAGAATGCGATTGGTTTAATGGAAACAATTATTATTATAACCAATTGTACCAGGGATTGTTTTACTGTACTTGTTCGTTTAACTGTACTAAAGACATTCTTTCTTCCGTTGATTGTGACCTTGCACGCACTTACGTTTGCTCAGCGATTCCGCTTGTACTTCTTTGGCACGATCTCGGTATTCTTTCGATACCACGAGATCGCCAACAAATACATCTCAACAACAGCCATCAATTGCCTTCTGATATTTGGCCTATGGGGGATCTTACTGGTTAACTGGCACGTAGTCTTCCTGTAGTGGTGAACATAGTCAACCGCGACTCGACTTCACACTACAGATCTATCCCTAATTTGATGAGTAGGGTGAATTTAGAGATTCCTACAGATTGTCATCAGTAATCTAACATTGAAATCAGTGATAATGATCACGAATAAAATCGTTTATCCGATATTGAGTGTTTGAGATATATGTCCATCGATCTATTGATCTAGTCTATCAATCCTGTATTAAGTCATATTATCTAATATCAATATCAATATTCATTGGTCGAATCAATAACGATAAGAATCAATAGATTAGAATAACGAATTTCCTAAAAGTTTTATAAATGCAAGATGTTAAGTGTGCTAGAAATTTCATACTTAGAGACCATTGTATGTAACAATGTGTATTCTCATCTCTTTAATTGTATACTAAAGAGCTTACTTCTAGCTCAAAAGACTTATCATCATTATCATGATGACCACAGATGCCTTAGAAATATTGCTGGCGTCTGCTGGGATCACCGGGTAAGTAATATTGAGGTTAAACGCAGGGTATTAGGGAATGATGGTAAATCAGTTGATGAGGTTGTAAATCCTCATCGACTGAGATGGTTGGATCACGTGTTACGTATGCCTAAACACCGATTACCATGAAGTGCAATGCTAACCGGTGTTCGAGATGGTTGGAAGGAAGTTAGGGGCGGCCAAACCAAAATGTGGCATCAGTGCTTGAAGTCACTAACTTCTAGTCTGAGCCATGTTGGTAGATGCAGACTACTTGGTTGGGGTCCGCGTGACTATCGTAACCAATGGTTGGAGGCCCTGGGTGACATGGCTCAGAATCGATCACAATGGCGTCGGTGTATACACTCTCTGTCTTCCCTTAAACTATAAGATTAAAATCGTTTCTTATCTTTCTTCGAATTTATTCTTTCTTCCTGTACTATGTCTTTGTAAGAAATCTTTCTTTTATATATTACCACCATTGAATTAACTACTTCTACGAATTCGGTGTTCATCTTGTTGTGTTAATGAGGTATGGCAACCTGGACCGATGCACATATGTGTCTGGTCCTACGTTGTAGCTGACTGACTGATTTACTGATGATTTACATTTATTCTCTGTCAGACATTTTTGCCTGTAGATTAATAGACTTAATTTGCTGTTTCACTGTTTTCTTATATATAGTAAGTCTTGTAGAGTGTCGGTTACTATGTTAAGCCCACGTAGCTTTTTCTAGCTTCCAGACAGGCCGATCTATTCATTCTTCTTGAATCATATTTTGACCTTGTCAATTATTCGCCTATCAACTCTGTTTTTATATGACTGTATATGTGTGCATTTCTTATCTGGCGAGACTATAATTTATGGACAAACCAATCACGTAGAAGATAACTGGTTTCGGATTTTGACGCGAAATTCACTCATTCATTCGGATAAATAAAGTTTTGGCATTATAGCTGATATCAGTACATGATGAAAACCCTAAATCTAATTTCTAACCTTAATCATCAACTAAAAATCATAATTCTTATTCGTTACACAAGTTTATAACCCTGGTTATTAGGTGAACACTCTCGGTCCCTCAAATGTCGTCCATAAATTATAATTTCACCCGAGTTGGCTCACACGCCTTATGAGAATGTAATTCTCAAATGTTGTAGGTGCTAATTCGATATAAATTAGATTAAAACAATTATCGGTAAAAGATTTAATGAAGTAAGGTAAAGTTATTGGAGGTAGTCGATAAAAAAACACTAGTTGACCTAGATTTTATGCTATTTTTGGAATACATCATTAATGTACCACCTAGCGATTTCCATCCCGTATAGCTCATCTTCACAGTCAAAGAGGTTACCACCACAACACAGAGAACAGCAACCAAACCAATCACACTTGATGGAGAAACTCACGAACCGGTGGAAAGTTTCAGTACATGACTTCGTCAGCATAATCGATGAACAAGGATGATCTTATAGCAGCTCACGTGCAATTGAGTTTGTTCACATTTAATTCGGTTAAGCCCTTTTGTTAATTTATTTAATGGATAGAGTCATTCGTACAATATCAACTAATCTATACGATTGTACCTTTATTATCGTTGCACTTGTATGAATATGTATGCTTGAGCATTGCATATTGCCTACTCATATATATTCACTCTGATAGCCTTACTATATTAGTCGCTTAATTGATTAGATGATTCATTCATTTCCTTATATATATACATGTACATTTTAATCCTGTTCATTGAACTGCTCGCACACTCGTTCATTCGACTCGCAAACTCACTCGCTTAATTTTCGGCACTAGTCTATCATGTTTGCTTAGTGTACCTGTAATTTTGGTCATCTGTGCATGGTACAATAATAAACTTAATTAATACCTTCTGATTAATACACCGTTGGGATGTTATCTAGAGAACCGTACACGAAGTTTAAGGATAATATTGAATACCGACCACCACACAATCAAAAATACGAAACACTGTGTTGAAGAGTTTAAGACAAGGACTGAATAAATATTTTTCAATGTTCATGAATTCTTTAATGGCTATGAATAAGAAACATATAGCAGCCAAATAATTAACTCTTTGTCGAGGTTTCTTTTTTTTGGCATTGGGTGCTGCAAAAATTGTTGAATTTAAAAACTTATATCATTGACTGACTTTGATTAAACTAATTTTGAAAACTACGAGGTACTGAGTTTCTGTTTGTAGTGTGGAACTATTTAGCATTTCATATACACAACCTCATCAGGGGGTCAAATCCAGAAGCTTCAGGCTTCAAGGCAATAGCTCAATAGTTATATAAGTCAATCATTGATGGTAAACTACAATATTTATATCCTGACCGTTGCTGCAACCTTGAAGTGCTGGTCGGGCTTGCCTATCGTGATGAACTGATCAAGCTATAATGGCTGCAACAATCGTTCCTCAAGATCCTACCATACCATACAGGTCGGTTGAAAAACGGTAAAACTGAAAGCAGCAAACCCAAGGTCGGACGGCGAAGTCCTACTTCTGACTGTACAGAGCTGTAACGGCAGTAAGGTTTTTCCTTCAAACAACCAGCATGACAGCGATGCTGCCTTCCCATAAGGATGAGTGAGGTTAGAAAGGGTCGATCCTAAAAATGCACACCTCGCCTTAATCCCACGGATATCCGTCTCCGGCAGTAAGGTTTCAACAAGTACGGAGTTAACACAAAAATTACTCACAAATAGGTCGTATGTGACCGACCTCAAGCAGTTGTCCCTTAAGCACTGCGGTCACGCTCTCAGACCACTAAGACCACCTTTAATCCAGTTTCGTTTTCAAGCACTTCCGGAAGAACCTTTACACGGTGTGAGCAACCGTGATGTGATAACCACTCTCATACCTGTAACAACACTCATGACCACTAACTGACAATATTACATTGGTGTATACGGAGTATTCTTAAAACGGATAACTTTATTTTAAACAAATATATTTAAATAAATAATAACTTACAGTATATGTTTTTGCTTCTATAGGACGAAATCTCCAATCTAATATATACAATCCATTTGATTGAATTAATCCTTGATTTTGTATACAATATAATATAGGTAAATCATATTCAATCAATTTTTCATTGATTTCTGATTTTTCAATTCTTTATTGATTATTGATTCATTGATAAACCATTGAAGTGGAGTAAGATGAAATTTGATTGTTTTAGTACTAGGATTTCTTAATTTCATTTGATATAAATAACCTAAACGATAATCTCCTAATCCAATTGGTGTTGGATTCAATATATATTTACGATTCATTAATTGTAAATAAGGTTGATTTAATGGTAAAGTAACACCAATCATATTTAACTAATTAGAAATCATGAAGAAGAAAAAGTATATATATATAAAAGATAATTAAGAAAATAAAAGAAAAATTGACGATTGTATATATTATCCACATTAAAACTATGAATATTCGGATTTTGTCTGCACCCATCTACTGATTTATATGCCAACATGACTTTGAATATAGTCAGAATACCTCTTCCGAACATAACTTCAGCAGGGGATTTTCCATCTAGGACAATAGGGTTGGGTGTAGTTCTATAAACTGTTAAAAGTCTTGTAGTTATCTAACTTGCCCCCCCCTCATCTCCACCTTTCAGTAGTGTTTCTTTAAATGTGTCAACAAAGAGCTCTGCCTGTCCGTTTGATTGAGGGGAGTAAAAAGGAGAGCGTATATATGCGATTCCATTAATGCTTTGTAAGTGCTTGAATGATTCCGAAGTCAATTGTTAGTCATTGTCGGTCATCAAAACCTCTGGAACTCCGAAATAGCTAAAGAATTCAGATAAATTACCGATTGTTTGACTCGTTGTGAAATGTGACATAGCATAAATTTCTGGCTATTTCGTGATTGCATCCAATAGGACTAAAAACAATTTTATGCAATTAGTTCCCTTTATGAATTTGTATGATAATTTTAGAGATAATGAAGGATTCATGGAAATAAAACAGTGATAAGATAGGTTACGTAATAATTGAATAGAGATTGAAAAGTTAACATAATTTAAGAGGGTAAGTGGGTGGAAATGTGGAAATGAAAAGTTGGTTTAAGAATTCGGTAATATGGGGGGGGAGGAATATAACACAAACTAAATGTTTTAAAAATAAATAAATAAATAAATAAAATAACACAAATAACCAAAAAACAATAAAAATAAAACAAAAATGGATTACCAGGTTAAGAATAAGTTTACTACTGTTTCTTTTTGAATACATAAATCAGGTTTAAGTTTTTTTATCGCGATCGGAGAGCAGTCGTATTTCTTTGTCTGCTGATCATTTTAAAAGCGTGCGGAATGTCGATGGTATGCCTGGGATCAAGTAAATACCGAGGTATTGCACTACTGAGAGCCCTAGTCACTTGCAGCCTCAATTTCTTTGGAATATGCTCAGAAATGTGAGCATGCACTCTTCTCTTAGTTCTTTCAATGTATGTGCTTTGGCACGTACATGTAAATTGGTAAATGCAGTTAGAGCTACTGAGAAAAGAGTAATTGTCGACTTTAGTTTATTAAAAGCTGACGAGAAACCAGGAAATGTAATGAATACATATTATTCTGCATCAATATTTGTTCTTGCTTTATTTAGATTGTATATATATTATTACCATTTGTTGCCCCGATCGAAGCTGCTACCTTGACGCGGTGATCGGGCTTGCCTATCGTGATGACCCAACCGAGCTATATTGGCTGGAACATATGTTCCTGCAGGTTCTACCATGCCAGGCAGGTCGATTGGCGAACGGTAAGACTAAAAGCAGCAACTCAAGGTCTGAGGGCGAAGTCGTACTGCTGACTGTAGGGAGGTGTGACAGCAGTAAGGTGTTTCCCTCGGACAACCAGCATGACAGCGATGCTGCCTTCCCACAAGGAGGGGTGGGGTTAGAAAAGGTCGACCCTAAAAATGCACACCTCACCTTACCTCACGGATTTCCGTCTCCGGCGGTAAGGCCCCTTGAAGAACGGAGCTAACACGTCAAAAACCTTCCACAAAAAGGCCGTGCGCGACCGGCCTCAAGCAGTTGTCCCTTGGGCTCTGCGGTCACGCTCCCAGGTCGTCAAGACCAACACTAATCCAATTTCCTTTTCAGGTTCCTCAAGAAATACCCTTCCACGGTGTGGGCAGCCGGGAAGTGACATCAGCCCTCATACCCGTAACAGCACAAGAGACCAAGGTGGTCACATTCAAATCCTTCCTACACCTCCTAATACTTCTCTTATCTTCCCGACTAACCCTCCTCACGTCTCTTTATCACCTCGCACCGCTAGGGCAAACGATTCGAGTACGTGGAACGCCATTCCTGGTCTCCTGAAACCACGCTCTAAACTACACGTAGGAGCTTTTAACGTACGAACACTTTGCCAAATAGGACAGCAGGCTTCCTTAGCTAAAACTTTAGAATCTCGCGCCATCGATGTGTGCTGCGTCTCCGAAACGCGCATACAGGATCCAAGTAGCGTCATTCATTTGACCTCACCATGCCAAAATAAAGAACCGACTCGATTTACGCTTCGTGTATCTGGAAGCCCTGATTCTGCTTCCCGTGGCCTCGCCGGCGTAGGTATAGCATTGAGTCCTAGGGCAGAACTAGCTCTCTTAGAGTGGATCCCAGTAGACAGTCGTTTGTGCGCTGTCCGACTGAACGGAACAGTAAGAATCCGGAAAGATAGGGACACTCGTCGTTGCCTCTTCGTCGTCTCTGCCTATTCTCCCACTGACTGCAGCTCAGATGATGTAAAAGATGAGTTTTACAGAAAGCTTTCGGACCTTCTCCGAAAAGCTAGGCGCTCGGATGTAGTAATAGTGGCCGGTGACTTTAATGCTCAAGTAGGTAAACTAAGCGATAAGGAAAGACACCTAGGTGGATCTTATGGTGTCGTGGCTCAAAGAACAGATAATGGCGACCGTCTGTTGCAGCTATGCTCAGATAACCGCCTGTTCCTTGCAAATACTAACTTTAAGCATAAGGAAAAACATCTTTTAACATGGCGACCCCCTAATTCGTCCCAACGTTGGACCCAAATAGATCACATCGCTATCAGCCACCGATGGAGGGGCTCGATAGAAGACTGTCGCTCATTCTGGAGCACATGCCTAGATTCAGATCATGCTCTAGTGCGAGCGCGTATTTGCTTGCGTCTTACTGGACGTAGGAAAGACGCTGCAAGGAAACCTCTTAGGGCCCTACTTAATGATAGTCAAGCTAAGAGTATATTTCAGGAACAACTAGGAAAACAGTTAGGCAGCCATGTATGTGATGCCCACCCCGATGCAGCATGGAATGATATCCGAAAAGCTGTGGAAACAGCAGTGATATCTGCTAGTAAGGTAAACCAGAAGGTTAGGGAGCAACACTGGATCTCAGCAGCATCTATCTCACTGATAGATGCTCGGAAACACATTCCACCTGGCTCTGAACATAATGAAGAGCGGAGTCAGCTTAAGCGCAAGCTGACAAGAAGTCTACGCAATGATCGCGAACAGTGGTGGGTAGCGAAAGCAAGAGAGATGGAAAAGGCAGCGGCAATAGGTAATAGCAGACAATTGTTCAGACTCGTTAAGGAAACCGGAATTAGGAACCCGACCGTTAGCGAAACAATCTCAGAGAAAGATGGACATATTATTCATTCTCAATCCAGGAGATTGGATCGATGGGCAGAACACTTTAGGGATCAGTTCAACTGGCCTTCAGCCACACTTCGGTTTCCCACGATCTCCAGTCAACCTGAATGGCAAGTTAATGTAGGTCCTCCGTCCCTTTACGAAGTTGAAAAAGCCATAGGAAATCTGAAACGAGGGAGAGCAGCAGGCCCTGACAGGTTTACTCCTGAGATTTTTAAGGATGGTGGTCCAGTATTAGCAATGAGATTAACTGAGGTCTTAGGTAGAATTTGGGAACTGGACGTAATCCCATCTGACTGGTCTCAATCACTGATTGTGCCAGTTTTTAAGAAAGGACAAAAGTCCTCTTGTGACAATCACAGAGGAATCAGTTTGACTAATATAGTGTCTAAAATATTAGCTTCAATAATACTTCGACGCCTAACTAAAGCTCGTGAAGAGCAGACTAGAGAAAACCAGGCTGGTTTTCGACCTGGACGTGGTTGTATAGATCAGATATTCACACTACGTCAGGTTCTAGAACACAGACACACATTCAGACGCCCCACAATGGTAGTATTTCTCGACCTTAAGGCGGCATTCGACTCGATTGATCGTGAGGTTCTATGGCAGTGTTTGTCACTGAAAGGAGTACCAAAGAAGTACATTAACCTTATAAAGGCTCTCTACTCGAACACAACTGGTCGAGTGAGAGCTTATGGCGAACTGTCATCAGAATTGATCACCTCAAGTGGTGTTCGTCAGGGCTGTCCACTCTCCCCATTCTTGTTCAACTTTGTGGTCGACGTACTTTTAGAGATAACACTCTCCTCATCTAAATTTACAGGGGTTGAACTTCTACCAGGAGGTTCACTTGTTGACTTAGAATATGCTGATGACATCGTTTTATTTGGTGAAGACACTGACAAAATGCAGAGTCTTCTGGCCACTCTAAGCAACAATGCAAGCATGTTCGGGATGCGATTCTCTCCCTCGAAATGCAAAATGTTGCTTCAGGATTGGGTTACATCGACACCCGAACTAGTGATAGGGAGTGAAGTAGTTGAGTGTGTCGACCGCTTCACTTATCTTGGAAGTCTCATCAGCCCTTGTGGTTTAGTGTGTGACGAAATCTCAGCACGGATACAGAAGGCTCGACTAGCTTTTGCCAACTTGCGTCATTTATGGCGTAGGCGAGATATCCGTCTATCAACCAAAGGACGTGTTTACTGCGCAGCAGTTCGTTCCGTCCTACTTTATGGGAGTGAAACATGGCCGGTAAGAGTAGAGGATATCCGTAGGTTACTAGTATTTGATCATAGGTGTCTTCGAAACATTGCTCATATATCATGGGACCATCGAGTAAGTAACACAGTTGTTAGGAAACGGGTACTAGGTAAGGATGGCAAATCAATTGATGACGTAGTGAAACTTCATCAGTTGAGATGGCTGGGACACGTGTTACGTATGCCCAACGACCGACTGCCTCGACGTGCTATGTTCAGTGGTATAGGAGTAGGTTGGAAGAAAGCTAGGGGCGGCCAAACCAAAACATGGCACAAGTCCATGAAGTCACTGACAAGTGAACTGAGTCATGTTGGTAGGTGTAGACTACCTGGTTGGGGACCGCGAGATGACAGCAACCGATGGTTAGAGACCCTGAATGACATGGCTCAAAATCGTTTGCAATGGCGCAGGTGCATCCACTCTCTGTGTTCTCCCAAATTCTAATCTTCTGAATTCTTCATGTCCCTTTTTTTCCTCTTTCCAAATTTCTTTCACTGGATTATACTCTTTAAATAACATCTCCAAACCCTAATCTTCCCGATTACTGCTTATACTCTTATTACCTCTACCACTACGGGATTTGAATCGACAAGTGCATCTCTGTGCTAATGTGGTGTGGCAACTCGAACTGATGTACGTACGTACGAAGTTCTACGTTGTTACTGACTGACTGACTGACTGACCATTTGTTGCGGGGGGGGGCGGGGTGGAAGATCCAGAAAATTCCTTGAAAATAAATAGCCAAGAAAGGTTTTGTAAACGCTAAGAAGCATCCTAGAATAATATAAAAAACTTTAGATTTTCTATACAAGAACGAATTTTCAGAGTAAAGTTTACTTATTTATGCCTGTTACACCTTATGGATGAGCATAGGTCACCCACAAGCACTTTCCATCTAATCCAGTATTAGGCAATCAACTGCAGGTTTTTCCAGTTGTTATGCATCCTTCTTATCATATCTGCTTGGAATAAAATGTTTCTTACATATTTCGTGCCTTTTCTCTTGTGTTCATCAAGTCACTGTGTAGATCTAACCTGGGGAGTTACTAGATTCGCTTAGGAACTAAATCTAGCGTTCAATTTAAAGACTTATCACTATTAGAAAATAATAGGTGTCAGATTTGACAGTATTCAAGTTTTACTGATCATTGATATCAGAAACAAAACGTAAATAATTTAATGTTTCGATATATGGTCAATTAACCTACAAGCTGATTTACAGCCTCTGTTTCAAATGATAATCAAAAACAAAGTTTCTAACAGTATAGCATGAATTCATTTTATTTCGTCTGGTTCTCGTCAGTTGCTTATAACCTCAGATATTTAAGAACTAAATTATTCACCTTAATTTCTCGACCACCATTAATTTTCCAAACGATTGGCAATTGATGACAACCAGATAAATTATGATTATAGGTGATCATAACTTCAGAATATTCTCCAGATTTTAATAAACATCGTCTTGGTTGAATATCAATTAATGAATGATTTTCAATATGTAACTAGAAAGAATAAAAAGAAAGTAAACATTATTTATTGAATATTTATGCAGAATTTTGAATTATTAAAGTTTTCTTAGCGAGTTAGTTTTCTACGGGATCGGGGTCGCTAATCCCATGCCCAACCCATCTCCTTTATCTGGGCTTGGAACCGACAGTAACTATAGAAGAGCTATAGGTGAACTAGTAATCGATCATAGGTGTCTTCGAAACATTGCTCGTATATCCTGGGACCACCGAGTAGGTAATGCAGTTGTAAGGAAACGGGTGATAGGTAAGTATGGCAAGTCAGTTGATGAAGTAGTGGAACTTCATCAGTTGAGGTGGCTGGGAAATGTGTTACGTATGCCCAACGACCGACTGCCCCGATGTGCGATGTTTCATGGTGTAGGAGTAGGTTGGAAGAAAGCTTAGGGCAGCCAGACTAAAACATGGCACAAATCCATGAAGTCACTGACAAGTGGACAGAGTGTGTCATGTTGGTAGGTGTGGACTACCTGGTTGGGATCCGTGAGACGATAACGACTGATGGTTATGGACCTTGAATGACATGGACCAAAATCGTTTGCAATGACACAGCTGCATCCACTCTCTGTGTTCTCCCAAATTCTAATCTTCCGAATTCTCCTTTTCTCTTTCCAAACTTATTTAACTGGATTATACTCCTTGAATGACATCTTCAAATCCTAATCTTTTCAATTACTGCTTATACTCTTACTACCTCTAGCACTATGGGATTTGAATCGACAATTGTATCTCTGTGCTAACGTGGTATGGAAACTCGAACTGTTGTACGTACGCACAAAGTTTTACGTTGTTATTGACTAACTGACTGGTAGATGGTCTATGCTCCTCCACGAGGAGTAACAGGCGTAAGGAAGCTAGTAATATACCAGTTCTGAAAAAAATATATTCGATTAAGGAGAGAAGCTTATATAAATAAATGAATAAATAAATAAGACCTAAGATGGATCATATAAAGTTCTGGTGGTTGATATTAACCCTATAGAATCAGCCTTTGTAGAATGATAATCGTTTAATATTGCAGAATAGATGTGATTGAAATATTAGAAGTACTAGATAGCCGTTTCGTATTAGTATGGGATTCCTTAGCAGTGTACATTCATCACCCCACACATGGGATTTGGACTCAGGATCTTCGGTCTTGTGAGTGAACGCCTAACCTTCAAACTATTGAGCCGGCATCCAGTAGTGTGATTGTCTAACTTCAGTCAATCCATGATTCCGCGCAATCCTTCATTCATTATCTGAAGTAGATAACTGATTCACACTGAACATGGATATTACTACAATCTCTACGAAACCCCAGACTAATAATTCAGAGATTTATTCAAATTTACATGTAACAATGAGTTGTATTTAAAAGTAGATGTTCAATTCATTTTTCACAGCAAAACATTTGATAACTAAAAAGTAGGTTAAAATTACAAGTCAATCCAATCTTCAGAGATGAGACTACACTATCTTTACAAATACAAATGTTACACATAATATAAGTGAGTTAAGATTTAATGATTAACCTACTTGTTGAAGTTCGGCTTCCTCATAATGTCCACTTTCTGCCCAAGTGGGTAGTTCAATACGTAAATCTTCCGGAAACATGAAAGCGAAATCGACTTCTATCAAACCTGAGTTTTCCACCAAAAAGCATAGTAGTGCCTTAGAACTGTGACCTCAGCATTTTTAGCTATAACTGATGTTCCAATGAATAAATCAAATTCTGGTCCACGACAATCTAATGATTTGGGATGATCACGATAAAGTGGACGACTATTGATTGTATCCTTTAATTCATATTCTGTTGGATCAGATTCTAAACTAATATTCAAACTATAAAGTAATGAAAATAGAATAAACATGAAATAAACCCGTGATTGGTCAGTTCAAATAGTAATAAAATGTTTATAAATTAACCACAGCGAAAAGCCATAACTAGTGAAGTTCAACGGGGTCTGTTGTGAGATAGTAACTCACTGAAGACGATGGTGGACGGTGGCTCAATTTCGTGAATTAGTTGGAGATAGACGTTAACACCGTTGGACGCCGGCTCAGTGGTCTATAGGTTAAGACCGATAGGTCCTGGGTTCGAATCTCGCGAGGCGGGGTCATGGATGCACACTGCTGAGGAGTCGCACAATAGAACGAAACGGCCATCCAGTGCTTCCAGGTTTCCCATGGTGGCCTAGCTTCAACTGACTCATTTTTAGTTGAGAAGTTTGTTATAGGACCCCTGGTGATAGTTATTACTTTATAAATAAAGTAATTAACTCACATTTCTGACAATTTTTGAAAGATCAAGCTTCTCCTGCAGTTTTGACGTCTCATATCAATCATCTGGGTGATTACTATCTCTAACATAATGTAGGGATTAGTCGTTGGGCTACCTAGAATACGTAGATCCTGCTTGTATTAAGAGACTTTATTCAATCATTCATTATTTGAAATGATAAAAAACTATAGCAAAATGGAGCAGATGTGTTAGGTAAAGTCGTATTGATAAGTTCAGGTGTCGAAGTAAAGGATTGTGGGATGATTGTAATTTATGTTTGTACGCTTTGGATAACGTCTCTAAACTGCTCACAAAGTTCAAAAAATTATTTACTACTATCTTCTTCTAAACTCCGCCTTCAACCTTTCCAGCGCTACCGTAGGTCCGAAGCTCAGATAAAAGAGAAGGGTTGGGCATGGGGTCAACTATTAACCTCGTAGAAAACAAGCGTTTTAAAAACTGCTTACCCGAATAAATTATTTTAACCATTTAGACTCTGTCTTGGGAGTTGAAGGATCTTCGTTCAGGACAATTATGACGCTTCATGATGAAAGCCTATATTTTTTAAAAGTCAAGAGGCCCAAACCCTTTCTAACAACCCGAGAAATAGGTGATATAGGTACATGCAATGTCCAGAAATTGTAGAGACTGTGAGGACCAGTCTGCGGAAATGAGGAGGTTTGCGGATTCAGTGAAACCTATGAAACCGAAGCCGAACAGAAAATGATAGATTCGAGAGAGATGATACTGTACTTAGATCATGAAGAAGAAAAAGGTCCACACATAGAGAGTTGCTCTGATGCTGTCCAGAGAAGCACGTAAAGCACTTTTAGGATGGGAAACTCATCGACCTAGAACCATCATAAGGAATTCTTACGACGAACTAAACTGTCATGTTGTGCAGGGTGGACAGCTCACTGATCCACTCCAAGTGGAGACCAGTGTCAGACAAGGCTGCTTGCTCTCAACCTTTCTCTTTCTTCTGGTGATTGACTGGATTATGAAGACCTCGACATCTGAGGGGAGGTACGGAATACCATGTCAGCTTGCATACAACTAGACGACTTGGACTTCGAAGATCACCTAACTCTTCCATTCCATGCACACCAACAATTGCAATTGGAGACAGACAGTGTGGTAGCAGCAGCCTCTATATCAGTAGACATCAACATACACAAGGGAAAAGTAACATCCAAAAATGCAACATGGAGAACACAAACCAAACCAATCACACTTGATGGAGAAACTCTGGTACCGGTGGGGACTTTCACGTACCTGGATAGCATCATCGATGAACAAGGAGGATATGGATGCAGACGTAAATGCAAGGACTGGCAAATCAAGGACAGCATTCCTACAACCGAAGAAAATATGGGACTCAAAACAACTGTCAACCAATATTGATGGTCAGAATCTCCAATACGAACGTCGACAGTCCTACTGCACGGAGCTGATACGTGTAAGCTACAATCACCAAAACAGTACAGAAATTTCTAAACAATTGTTTAAGCGAAATACTCAATGTCCGTTGGCCGGATATCATCATCAACAGCCTACTGTGGAAGAGAACAAACGAGCCTCCAACTGAAGAGGGAGTTAGGAAGTGGATACGACATATATTATGGAACTCATCAATTTCAAGACTTTACTTGGAATTCTGAAGGAAAACGGAAAAGAGGAAGACCAAGGAACAAACTGCTCCGGGAATTGAAGGCAGACATTAAAAGAATGAATATTAATCCAATTAGCATTCAAATTTTGAATCTGACTCCTCTTAGTTTTATCTTAGTAACTTCATCCTGCTGTACCACTATTTTTGTTAAACATGTTTTGACATATTTATCACTTGACTCACTGACTAATAAATCTTGGTCACAACAAATGACTTATTTCGTATTAAGGTTAATGAATTATCTCATAAAGAAAGTTTGATCCTTTTTTCCAGTATCTCATTCACTAATAAGTAAAATTTATTTATTTAAACACAAAAACATTGATACAAAGAGGCACCAAACAGATATGCGCCACAACCGGATCCCTCGACCTAAAAGGTCTAATCCACAAGGCAGTGGAGTGACGTCAAGAGATGCAGTCCCACGGAAGCCAGTGACCAACAATAGGCTCACACGCCATTTGTTCCTTCAAGATTCTGGAGCCCACGTGGAGCATTGGTTTGGAATCAGGGTTGTCCAACTCCCTTAGGTAAACCCTACGTGTCCACCAGCCCGTTAATGCGCCGGACATTTGCTTTTCATCTTCTCAATTTCGTAAACAACAGTGGTACCACGAGTAGGCAGTGAGTAGGACTTTCTTGACAGTGGTTGTATGCACGTGGTCATGTGAGAGCATTTCGATTGGGAGAGCTGACTTTTCTGACTTTCGGCTATACCAGGTATTTGGGGGCAATCAATAAAATACTTATCATGATAAAATGTATATTAATGAACAGTAAATACAAACCTGTCTATATCCAAACTTCTCCATAGTTCCACTGGACTAGTATTATTTAAACTTCCTGAACCATGAATATCAGTAATTCGTAGAGTAGGATAGACTGATTCAACAAATATTGTTGTAGCTAATATTTCTTCAGTTAGATATTTACGTGTATTATCTATAGTAAGTTCAGAATAAACATTGTAAGATACATAGAATTTCTAGTAAGGGTTTATAACTTTTTGTTATTGATATTGTGGACTGTAATTTAATAGTCCCTGTTTATTTACATGAATCACATGAGCAGATTACCTAGATATATAACGTTACGTGATGTTAGATTAACAGTGATCTCTAGGTGATACATTTTTTCCTGTTTGATACTAATCAACTAGATCCATTTGAATCCGGTGCTGATACACACATATTTGATTAACCCCTTTTTACTAAAAAAGATGAATGTAGTGAATGATTGGTTGTTTCATAGACTTTACTTTCATACTGAATTCAGTCAGTCAGTCAGTCAGTAACAACGAAGAACTTCGTACGTACGTACATCAGTTCGAGTTGCCACACCACCTTAGCACAGAGATGCAGTTGTCGATTCAAATCCCGTAGTGGTAGAGGTAGCAAGAGTATAAGCTTAGGGTTTGGAGATGTTATTTAAAGAGTATAATCCAGTGAAATAAATTTGGAAAGAGGAAAAAGAAAGGGACATGAAGAATTCAGAAGATTAGAATTTGGGAGAACACAAAGAGTGGATGCACCTGCGCCATTGCAAACGATTTTGAGCCATGTCATTCAGGGTCACTAACCATCGGTTGCTATCATCTCGTGGTCCCCAACCAGGTAGTCCACACCTACCAACATGACGCACTCTGCCCACTTGTCAGTGACTTCATGGATTTGTGCCATGTTTTAGTTTGGCCGCCTCTAGCTTTCTTCCGACCTACTCCTATATCACTGAACATAGCACGCCGAGGTAGTCGGTCGTTGGACATACGTAACACGTGTCCCAGCCATCTCAACTGATGAAGTTTCACTTCATACTGAATTATTGGTTCCTCAATCGAATTAAAGTTACACTCAGTTATAATACACTGATTTTATGGATATAGGAAACGCTCATCTTGGAACGGTAGCACATCACATGGTTGATAGTTAAGGAATGTAATGAATGCATTTAGAGTGATCAACCAGAGGGAGTGATGCTAATTGATATACCTTAACTTGACATTTGTTTTCCATGAATTAATGTTTAATCTTCATCTACTTCTCCATTGCAGAAACAAACTGAACATTTCTACATCAATTAAATGATAACTAATAAACTAAAGAATTTCACTCACACAGTTTGTTTACCTTCTTAACATACTAACAAAATTACCTTCAATATTCTAGACTTGTCATTTCATGCATTTGTAAAACTCTGAGAAAGTTATAATTTTTGATTGAGATCCTGAATCGATTGTTGTTAGACTGCCACTTAAAACCTGGAAGCACTAGACGGCCGTTTCGTCATATGATGGGACTCCTCAACAGTGCGCATCCACCAACCCGCCTCGCGGGGTTCTAACCTAGTGGGTTATATTAATCTCCACATCGAAAATTCTAGTTCCTAACTACATTTGCATTAAATAAACCGAATACTTTATCGGTAGACAATTCATTTTCTTGAAATTCTAAATTGTAATTACCTACTTACGCCTGTTACTCCTCGTGAAGGAGCATAGGCCGCTCACTGGAAATTGTAGTACTAATTGGAAATAATTAGATTTATTAGCCTGTATTCAACTGAAGTAAAAACAACGAAATACAACAAAAATTCATCGTATCCTACTTTTCTTGTTTAAATTAAATTTGTAAATGTAATTCTAATCAATGAAATACCAAACTACTGTCGACTAAATAAGCAAAGATGGTTAGTGGCTAGTAACGGAATCCAGGATGTGCGTTTCGTCCTATTTAGGACTTGTCAGCTGAATAAACCTGCATCTCAGAGTTGTTGTTTAGTCTGGGACTCGAACCCAGTAACGTTCACTTCAAACGTCGTCACGTTATCCACGTGAATGTGCAATGGGGTGAAGTTGACTCAATCACCATTATTATTTCGTTAGCATTATCATCATTATTATTGGAAAGTGGATAAGCTTTTGAACCTTTAAATATTATAAACAAAAGTAATGATTCAGTAGTATAATCCATTTTAAACACAATTTAATTGTATTTATATTCAAACAAACCTGATTTATTGTTTATTCCATCAATCATTTTATTGGTATTCTTCTTATTACTAATAATTTCATTAGTAGTATACAACCGATAGAATAAATGAAAACAAAAGCTTCCTTTTGATTTTGGGCAAATATTGATTGTAATTGATTTAGTTGAATGACCACTAATCAGATTATCACTAGTGTTTACCGTAATAAATTCATCCAACTTTAAATTCTGATTACTCTCATGATACAATGGCTTAATTATTGTACAGAAATGAGTTGATATCTGTAAGAGAAAATTTTTTTATAAAGAAGTAAAGCATAAAGGTTTATGAAGATTGTTGAGTGTTATGGAGATTACAAACTAAATCTAAGTTAGATAACGATTCAAAAAACAAAAAAAACAGAAAGCACTGGATGCTGTTTGAATAGATTAAAGGTAAAGTGTTCATCGTAAAACATGAAGTACTTGATTTTGATCTTCGGTAGGATTGTGAATGTGCACTACTATGAGGTATTAAACTACAACGAAACAACTGTGCAATGCTTCTTGTTTTTCAATAACTGTTCAACTTACATTGGTTCGTGATCTAAGTAAAAGAAAAGTAATTCAATTCAAGAGATTCGTAAATGGGAATAGGGGACGAGCTGCTTTGAATGAAGTCGTAATTGTATTATTTACATGAGTTGTGATCTCTGAGGAATTCATGAATATATATATATGGCAGGTAGATAATCTTAAGACAGAAGCTTGGAGAAATACGAAAGCTATCATTCAGAAAATAAAAGTGTTTAATAACGGTTTCCTAGGCAAAATACTTCAGATCCGTTGGTCAGACAACATCAGCAACAACCTACTGTAGGAGAGAAAAAACCAAATCCCAGTGGATGAACAAATCATGAAGAAGTGTTGGAAGTCGATAGGATACACACTGAAGGAAGCATCAGACTGCGTCACAAGGTAATCCCTCACATGTAATTCTCAAGGCCAAATGAGGAGAAGAGGAAGACCAAAGAACACATTACGCCTAGAAATGGAGACATACATGAGAAGAATGAACATGAATTGGAGGGAATTAGAAAGGAAGGCCGAGGAGAGAGTGCGTTGGAGAATGCTGGTCGGTGGCCTATGCTCCACTGGGAGTAACAGACGTATGTAAGTAAGTAAATAAGTGAAGTAGATAAACCTAATGATATTACTTACTATACTACGATTATGAAAATTGATCTTATAACTTGCTGATGTATTTACTAATAATGGATGACAAGTAATTGTCTCTGGATCAATCGATAATTGGGCATTTCCTGACATAGTGATGACACGTAATTCTTTTTGTTTTATTTCATATGAATATTCATTAAATTTTTGATTATTAGAATAGTTAATGGATTGATTATATCTCCAATATCTAAGACGTGGTTTAAATACACAATTAGTAACTTGTGTTGGATGAAATGTCCACAATTGTGACTGAAACCAAAAAAAGAACAGGTATTGAACAAAATAGATAATTGAGATATCATAGTGATAGAATTTATAGGTTGAAGTTAGGGTGATTACTATTTCATTTAGTATGAATCAAGATAAGTTAAATGAAGAAGTATTCCTTTTTAATTCAGTCAGCTACAACATAGGACCAGGCACATATATGCATCGATTCTGAGCCATGTCACCAAGAGTCTCCAATCATTGATTACGATGGTCACATGGACCCCAACCATGTAGTCTACATCTACCACCGTGACTCAGACTAGAAGTTAGTGACTTAAAGCACTGATGCCATGTTTTGGTCTGGCAGACCCTAACTTTCTTTTGAATTGGTTCTTTACCAAGGCTCTACATTAACTAGCGTATTTTAGTTGGTGTTTTCTTTAGCAGGTTAGTTTTCTACGAGTTGTACTCGCTAACTCCATGCTCAACCCTCCTCTCTTATCTGGGCTTGGGACCCGCAGTAGCCCCAGAGGAGCTTCAAGCTCTACACCAATATATATATTTTATAAGTGAATAGAAAGTTGATGCCAATCAGATAGTGATGAGTCAGTTTAATAATATAATAATCAATTGGTTACATAATGGTTGAAAGAGTAAAATTAAAACTAAGGTGAAATTTTACAATCAGTTAATTATTACAAGTTGTTACATAAGAATAGAAATAGGAATTGAAATTATTATCTATGAAAGTACTTGGTAAGTCGGGTGTAGTGAAAATTAGATTAGATTAATAAGAAAAGGGAAAGAAAGGTTTCGAAACATGTAATAGTATCTAAGTAGAAGGTTAGGGTAGATTCAAAGCTAGTGTAAGCTATTTCTATATACTAAGGATAGGTTTTTCCATGTGTATTCCTATGGTTTCTGTTATGCATAAGAGTCAGATTCTGGAACCATAGGGCAAAATCGGTGAGAATTTATGAATGACCAGTATCGACTAGTATCGACTAGTACTCCTGGAGTTCTAGTGAGAAGCCGTGACAAGTAGAGTTTAACCGTGTCTGTCATGAGGCACTTACTCACTGAAGACAATGGTGGATGGTAGCGCAATATCATGGATTGTTTGAAATTAGACATTAACACTATTGTATGTCGGATCAGTGGTCTAGAGGTTAGGCGTTTGAGCGCAAGATCGAAGGTTTCTGAGTCCGGGTCCCGTGTGCGTGTTCGTGGACGCGCACCACTGAGAAGTCCCATACTTCCACATCTCCATAGACAAAAGAAAATACTGAAGATGAATAAAATGAGCAAAGTTACATGACTTTTGAAAGGAAACGATTAATAAATGAATAAATTATAAGATGTCATTGAAGAAAGTTAAATCAGTAGTATTTACATACTTGTATTTCATTTGGTAATAGAAATCCTTTATTCGGATGAACTTCTAATTCAGTTTTGTCATCAGAAATAATTTCCCAACAAAATCTTTAAAAAAAAGAAAATAATTCCATTACAAGTAATACTAAGATGGTTATGTATTACGATAAGATAGTAATTCTAAACTTTCTTAGTCAATTATAAACAAAGATAGATATAATGGCCAACAGTAGAATCTGGGATGCACGTTTCGTCCTATTTAGGACTCGTCAACAGGATGTACCTGCATCTCAGAGTTGATGTTCACTCTATGACTCGAATCCAGTACCGTTCACTTCAAACGCCATCGCGTTATTCATTTACCTACTATCCATCTTTGCTTATGATGAATGTGAATGAAGGCAATATTGAGGCAATACGCACAGTATGCACATATGACAATAAGAGACTGATCAACTACAGTCCTAAACATCAATAAGAAGATTCAAGTAAACAATACCAAGTGAATTCTGAGTCAATATTTGGTATTCTATTATTTATTATTATTTAAACACATAAACATTGGTACAAGGAGGCACCAAGTAGATTTGTGTGAGGGCTGTGATACTGTCCGGGTGCCCAAACTGGAGCAGGTGATTTTCTTAGGGGGCCACAGTCCGAGCCTTCGACCTGAAGGTCTGATCCACAAGGCAGTAGAGCATCGTGAGGAGATGCAGTCTCATGGTAGCCGGTGACCAACGATTGGTTCATACGCCATTTGTTTCAGCAGGATACTGGAGTCTATGTGCACCATTGGTTTAGAATCCGGTTAAAGCGCCGGACATTCGCTTTTCGCCCTCTCAATTTCGTAAACAACAGTAGTGCCACGAGAAGGCAGTGAGTAGGACTTCCCTGGCAGAGGCTGTATACGCGTGGCCGTGTGAGAGCATTTCGAGAGGGAGGGTGAGCCCACCCCACTCTCGGCCATACCAGGGCATTTGGTATTCTAATCTTTTATAAATATCACAAAACCTATCAGTTTCATTATTCAAGCAATGAAAGACATATTGATTCTTCTATCTGGTAATACAAGGAAAGAAGTCTTCTTTTCGTTGCTTTTTCTCTCTATCTTTCTCTTCAAATGCTCCCAATCATTCTGAATTTATTAATTTAGTTCTTCTTCAACACTTAAAATGTCTTTATTGTCATCACAAACGAACTTCATTAGGAAAACTGTAGAAAAACGACGGGACACTAGATGAATAGTTCCTCCTAGTATGGGGCTACTAAGTAGAACAGATTCACGACCCCTGTGGCAATCGAAACCAAGACTTTCAGATCAAGAGATGAGTTCTTAACCTTTAAACCACTGATTTATTATTCAATGGTTTACATACTCCGTACATTCTAAATAATTTGCAATCATTTTCAATTGTTTTTGTCTGGCTATAAATATCAATTAATGCTTGATTAAATCGAGTTGGCTCATACGCCTCCACTGGGTAACATTTCACTTCACTCTTTTCTCTTCGCTTCGTTTACTCGAACGTTTGTCTCAATCAACAATTGTACGAAATATGCGTATTCAAAACTTCCTTCTCGTACTGGACTTATTTCAATTCCATTATTCACCAACGTGAGTTAAGTCAATGATTATATACGAGGATTGACGACATGTATATCTCAATAGCAATCATTCGTACGATCTAACTGGAGTCAGATATAAGGTCACTAAATATACAAAATTCAAATTAATCTGCATGAATCTTTAACACTCATGATAGATTCAATTGATAAACTTACAAAATGAATAACTAATAATATCGGTAACATATGGAACTCAAAACAACTTTCAACCAATATCAGTCAGAATCTTCAAAAAGAATATCAAGACAGTTCTACTGTACAGAGCTGAAACTTGGAGAACTACTACAACCACCATCAAAAAGATACAAGTATTTATAAATAGCTGACTACGCAAGATACTCAACATTCATTGGCCGGATACCATCAGTAACAGCCTACTTTGGGAGAGAACAAACCAACTTCCGGCTGAAGAAGAAATTAGGAAAAAACCATGGAAATGGATAGAATATACATTACGCAAATCATCAAACCGTATCACGAGGTAAGCTCTAACTTGTAATCCTGAAGGGAAGCGATAAAGTGTGAGGCCAAAGAACACATTACGTCGGGAAATAGAATCAGATATGAAAAGAATGAATAACAACTTGGAAAGAGCTGGAAAGTATTCCCCAGAACATGGTTGGATGGAGAATGCTGGTGAGCCGTCTATGTTCTTTGATGAGGAGTAACAGGCGTAAGTAAGTAAGTAAGTAACATTCATCAAAACTTACTCTATTTTATAAGGTGAGACATTTGTAATGTTGAATTTCTTCTGTGTATATGCACCTACATGAGTAGGTACAAAATACAATTCACCATCGTTTTCTAAAATGATATTCGCTGTAGTAAAATTGATTTCAATTGGGATTCTCTGAAATAGGTAAATGTAAAAGTTAATTTTAATGCATAACACATGTATATAAATTTGATGATGATGGCGAGACTATATAATTTATGGACGAAACAAACAGGTTTAAGATAACAGGTCACGGATTTTATGGCAAAACTCACTAATCCATTAGGTTAAATAGAATTATGGCATTATAGCTGATATCAGTACATGATGAAAACCCAAAATATAATTCCTAACCTTAATCATCAACTGTAAATCATAGTTTTAATTCCTCACACAGGTTAATAACCCTCATGTGGTCCTGGTTATTAAGTGGACACTTTCAAGGTCAGTCTGGTGTCTCTCAAATGTCGTCTATAAATTATAGTTTCACCAAGATGAATAAGTAAGATGGAACAATGTAGGATTAAACACTGTGCTAGTGAATGGATCTTTCAGCAATAAGAAGAATAGCATTCGCATATGTAAGAAATCACAAATGGGATTTAAGTAAATCTATTTACTTTCGAAACTAAGTAGAAATTCTATTTTCTGACGTTTCATGACTCAGTGTAAGCTACTTCTTTAGAGAATAAACAACCAAATCAAATTTAATCCAAGCTTAAATAGTACAAAGGAGCAACGCAAGAAGTAGTTTATACTGAGTCACAAAACGTCAGAAAACTTAATTCTTCTACTCATTAGGATATTACAAATATATTAATTTACTAAGCGAATATAGATAGTGGCCAGTAGTTGAATCCAGGACGCGCGTTTCATCCTATTTTGGACTCGTCAACTAGATGTACCTACATCTTAGAGTTGATATTCATTGCGGGACTCGAACACAGTACCGTTCACTTCAAATGTCATCGCGTTATTCATTTAACTACTATCCATCATTGCTTATGATGCATGTGAATGAAGGCAATATTGAGGCAATACGCACAGTATGTATATATGCTAATAAGAGATTGATCAATTGTAGTCCTAAACATCAATTTAATACTTCAATTCGATAATGCTTTCTTAAAAGGGTTGTAGATATCATACGGATCATTTGTGGAAAGATTATTAATAAATTGATCTATTCGTTTCATTCAAAACTTTCCATTTACACTTGAAATTCATATTTAAATAATAGTTAGAATCATTCTATTGTTTGTTTGAATTGATCTCTGTAAGACTTGTACCCGTTTCATTTAGCTTCACAGTTAAATTAGGGAAAACTAGTCACATGAAATCACTCAAACTAATGATCATATTGCAAGTTGATCGATGAAATTAGGACAGAACTAAGGATAATTTAACGATATATAATAATGTATTCAGTCAATAAGTTAATACAGGTGAAGATTCTATTCAAAACAATGTGGAAATAGTATTGATCTTCGAAAGGTGAAATTATGGCAGGTTGTTGTTTTTGAAGCGATGATAAGTGATACGTGATATTTCATCGATTATAAGCAACTGTATAGATCTTTACCAATCTTAAATATATATATTGATTCTTTAGTTTTTATACATCGAATCCCAGAAGGAACATCAACTCTGAGATTCAGGTACATCCAGTTGACTAGTCCCAACTAGAAAGAAATGCACATCCTAGATTCCACTGCTAACCACTATTCATCATTTTTTCTCATGAAGAACGATGTCTGAAAGACAAGCTATTATAAGAATCACTTCAATGGCGTAACCATCGACGACAGAAGTCTGATAACTGAAACAATCTCTGTCTCTCGTTATATATGTATATATAATATAGGATAATTACCCATTCATGTTTTGGTTGTTGGTTCATTGACACAATCTCAAGTCCTTTGAGTATAATTTTATCTTCTCTAGTTGCCATCTTTTTTTTAATTTCAGCATAGGATAGATTAGTTTCACATTGAAACACAATCACTTTGTATGAATTTGGCGGAATTAAAGTTATTGAAGGGATAAGTTGAATATTCAAAATATTCCTTAACATTTAAAACAAATAACCAAACAAAGAAAATCATGATGATTGTTAGATTATAAGAAATTCACATTTTTGTGTTTAATGATGGATTGATGTACAAATTATTAATGAGGAAGAAATTGTCATTTAATAGTGAAATTCATCAGTCAATTGAAGTTAGACCACCATGGAAAACTTGGAGGCACTGGACGGCCATTTCATCCTAGTGTGGGACTCCTCAGCAGTGCCTATCTACGATCCCGCCTCGCGAGATTCCAACCCAGGACCTATTGCTCTTCCGTACTTTCGCTTAACCACTAGACCACTGAGCCGGCATCAACAATATGACGAAACAGCTGTCCAGTGCTACCAGGTTTTCCATGATGGTTTAGATTCGATTAATTCATGATCTCAACCATTATAATTGATAATATTTAAAATGTTTAGAGGATTGATACTCCCTATAGGATTCAAACTTGTGACTTGAAGCTTCACAGATAGAGATGTTGAAATTGAGCTAATCGAGACATGACTAACTTCCTGAACAACTAAGATATTTACAAATGATTATTTATTGAATGGTGATTGAATTTTTCTCGATCAAGTTGTAATGTACCTACTAGTCTTTTATTGAGATATGATTTCATTATGATTAAAGGATCTACTAACTTGACTTTTTGTGTTGAAATCTATACAAACCATTACAAATATTCAGTTGAATAGTAAATACTTTATACGAATATTCTAACGTCCTAGTGAAATACATTTGATGATCATAATATTGAAAGGGTAATATGAACTCATCGATACTATTGGGTACGCATGAACTCAATCATTGATTAAACCTTAGTAATGTAAACCATTTAAATTTAAATTTTGTTGTTAAACGATATTATTGCAAATTACCGCGGCTGCTGGCACCAGACTTGCCCTCCAATTGGTCCTCGTTAAAGGGTTTAAATTGTACTCATTCGAATTACGGAACCTCAATTGAGTCCCGTATCCGTATTTTTCGTCACTAACTCCTCGTGCTGGGAGTGGGTAATTTTTGCGCCTGCTACCGTCCTTATTATATTATTGTAAATAGTACTCCTGTAGATGTTAAATTTGTGCTAACTCAAGGCATCATCTTAACTTTTTAACGTTGGTATTTGAAGCTGTTCACTATTGAAGACTGAATAACTGTATTTCCTCATTGGTATACATCATGCATGACCATGTGTACCATCGATACATTATGAAACAATCAAGTACATAAACAATGATAAATCTATCGTATGATTTCTTAATTTTTCCGTTCTTTTCCTGTCTTCGCTTTCTTCTCTACAATTGTAGATAATTATAAATATCTTGTTATATGACTGAAGTAGTTCTTCATCGTAGTATTCTATTCCGAAACACCATAAACTTGTTCGTCTCTGTTGCTGATAACTGACTGACTGACTGACTAACTACTATGTAGTAACATAAAAAGTATGAATAGAAAATTGAATTTCTGACATTTCTCAGTCCATTCATCATTTCAAACTTTCATAGAGTCGTATCTATGCTACTTTCTTAATGTATATATATATTCTTCTCATACTGCCTACTAAAGACACCTCAATGCTTACTGGATTGATTGCACTTATAGAATATACTCTGACAAGAATCTTGTACCGTAAAATGCTATCACCTCTGATTATTCAGTTAACTTGGCTTCATAATAACAAAATCCTTATAATAACTTCTTGTATCAAGTTGATCATGCCTGTAATTTAGTGCACTATTCTGTAATTATTTTGATAAAATACATACATGAATAGTAATTGATTTAGATGAAAGAATTGAATGGCTCTAGTTTTAACTTATGGTAACATTATAAATGTGTATTACTGAGATGTCATTTACCATTACTCTTTAAACTGTATTTCATTAATGATAAAATAGATTAACTTAATGATTGTTTACTACTCAACACTACTTTAATTCCAGTGGAATCAATAATTAGATCTCCATTCAAAGTTATTCACCATAGCTATAAAGTGTATAATCAGTCAGTCTTGGATGCTGTTAGAGGTATGAGGGCAGTTATCACTGCCCAGTTACCCACACTGTGGAAGGGTTCTTCTGGAGGTACCTGAAAAAGAAATTGGATTATAGGTGGTCTTAGTGACTTGAGAGCGTGACCACAGTGCCCAAGGGACAACTGCTTGAGGTCAGCCACACACGACCTTTTTATGAGTAATTTTTTTGTTAGTTCCGTACTTGTTGAAACCTTGCTGCCGGAGACGGATATCCGTGGGATAAGGCGAGGTGTGCATTTTTAGAGTCAACCCTTTTTAACTTCAACCCTCCTTGTGGGAAGGCAGCATCGCCTTTATGTTGGTTGTCTGAAGGAAACACATTACTGCCACCATACTTCTGTACAGTAAGCAGTACGACTTCGCCATCGGACGTTGGGATTGTTGCTTTTAGTATTACCGTTCTTCAACCGACCTATCTGACATGGTAGGACCTTGAGGAACGATTGTTCCAGCCAGTATAGCTCGATCGGTTCATCACGATAGGCAAGCCCGACCACCACGTCAAGGTAGCAACAACGGTCCGAATAAAGTGTATAGAAATTTATTCGTTTTTATTTTTATTTTCAAATTTATTCAATCAAATTAAAATATTGTTATTGTTGCTTAGGGAGAGAGAAAGAGAGAGAAAGGGGAGGGAGGAAGGAAGGGGGAAGGAGGGAGGGAGAGCTTACTCGTCGAAATCTTCATAGTTCAAACATTTTTTAAGATTTTTATGTTGTAATAATAATGGATATTCACTTTTATTATATAATGAGATTGAATCAAATTTATTTTCACAATATTCAATTGGATCAAATATAATTGTCGATTTATTTATTTCATAATAAGGTGTAAATGATTGTTTATCACCAGGGAATGTATGACCTGTAAATTAGAAGAAGGAAAACAATAGAGACAACAATTAAAAAAAAACAGGTGAATCAGGGGAATTTATCACAATTGCTATGCTTTATAGTAATTATTTAGATGGTAGTTGGAGGTAGTCAACTGGAAACCCTGGACCCGGGTTTCGTACTACTTGGCACTCGTCAGCAAGGTGTACCTGTAATCTTGAAGGAACTGGTGCTCATTGGCGGATTTATTGGTTTAGCTGATAATGAAAGCATCAGTAGTTATCATCATAAGTTGAAATTAGATAGAAAGTTAATGTGTGATGTGTGCTACTGATGTCGATAGATATAAGTAGTATATATCATCAGTTAGTCAACAACGTAGAACTTCGCACGTACGTACGTACGTACGTACGTACATCAGTTCGAATTCCCATACAACATTAGCATACAGATACAATTGTCAATTAAGATCCTATAGTTATAGAGGTAGTAAGAGTATAAGCAGTAATTGAAAAGATTAGGATTTGAAGATATCATTCAAGGAGTATAATACAGTGAAATAAATTTAGAAAGATAAAAAAGGGATATAAAGAATTTAGAAGATTAGAATTTGGGAGAGCACAAAGAGTGGATGCACCTGAGCCATTACAAACGATTTTGAGCCGTGTCTTTCATCATTAGTTGAAAGTGAAATACCTGGTGGCAGAGAGGGTTAAGAAGATTAAAGAAAAGTGAACGAGAACAAAGAATGATTGTTGTGTAAATGAAGGAACAACAAAGTTTGAGATGATTGATTGACATTTTGCAAATGAAGTGTTTACTGTATGGTTCTTAAATTTTACTAAGATATTCTGTAATTTTGTATTCAAATACATTTGGTTGTCCCCATTTGTATTCTCATTCACTATAATTGATAATTATGGAAAAATAAACGGGTACTTTGATTTTAAATACAATCTTTTCGGCATTACAAACTATCCCGTAATGCTATATTTGAATCGAATATCAAGATCTTCAAGTATTGTGGTTTGAAAGATAATATTAAGTTAATGAGTCAAAGTTCGATGATCAGGATGTTTGCATCAATTGTTATCAATGAGTTACATTCTCATTTCATGTTCACTCTAATGGCTTGTACACAATTAAGATTGTCCCCAAATGCCCTGATACGTCCGAGAGTTGGAGAGTCAGTTCTCCCTCTCGAAATTCTCTCACATGGCCACGCGTATATAGCCTCTGCCAGGGAAGTCCTACTCATTGCCTTCTCGTGGTGGGGGTGTTGTTTACGAAACTAAGAGGACGAAAAGCGAATGTCCGGTGCTTTAACCGGGTTGGTAGACATGGATAGTCTACATAGAGGAGTTGAAAAACTCTCATTCCAAACCAGTGGTGCACATTGGCTCTAGTATCCTGAAGGAACAAATGGCGTATGAGTCTATTGTTGGTCACCAGCTACCGTGGGACTGCATCTCCTGACGTTGCTCCACTGCCTCGTGGATTAGACCTTTTAGGTCGAGGGCTCCAGGTGTGGCCCCTAAGAAAACCACCTACTTTGGTTTGGGCAACCGGGTAATATCCAGCGCTCACATAAGTCGAATGATTTATGTGGCGCATATCTGTTGGGTGCCTCCTTGTACCAATATTTATGTTTAAATAAATAAATTAATTAATGGTTGAATTCATGAGTTGATATAAGCTAGACCACCATGGAATCACTGGACATTTGAGGGGCCATTCATCGATCGATGGGAGCTAGACATTAACACCATTGAATGCCGATTCAGTGGCCTAGTGGCTAAGCGCTTACGCGCGAGACTGGGTTCAAATCTCACTAGGCGGGATCGTGGATGAGCACTGCTGTGGAGTAACCAGGTTTTCTATGGTAGTCTTGCTTCAATTGACTAATGAATTCAACAATTAAATTACTATAATACCCACAATAACCCTTCTCTGGTTAGAATCATCATATGCTGACTAGTGACCGTCTCCAAGAGGTATTTCCTGGGGTTCTAGTGAAAAGCCGTGACATGTGGAGTTCAGACGGGTCCGTTGTGAGATAGTAACTCACTGATGACAACGATGGATGGTGGTTCAATCTTGTGGATTTGTTGAAGCTAGATATTAACACCTTTAGATGCCGGTTGGTTCAATAGTCTAAAGCCTAGGCGTTCACGCGCCAAATCAAAGGTGCTGGGATCGAGTCCATCGTGCAGGATCGTGGATAAACACTGCTGAGAAATCCCATACTAGGATGAAACGATCATCCATTGCTTTTAAGTTTTCCATGATAGTCTAGCTTACATTGACTCATGAATTCAACTATTAATATATATATATATATATATATATATATATATATATATATATATATATTTGCTGAATAAAAGTTCATTTCAGTGTACATAATTGAGAGACCAATAAGAAGAATCCATAAAATTCCGATGAATTAAATTAGTTTTCATATTTTATAGAGTCTAACTAACTTAAGGAACTTGATTAGTTGCATTCCTAAAACACTAAAAATGTTTATATTTACATTTATGGTTGAATATATTCTTGGTAACTCTGCCTAAAGTCCCTCCGGGGACTACTGCCGGTCCCAAGCCCGGATAAAGAAGGAGGGTTGGGCATGGGGTCAAAGGAAAAGAGGAAGACCAAAGAACAAATTACGCCGAGAAATGGAGACAGACATGAGAAGAATGAACAAGAATTGGATGGAACTAGAAAAGAAGGCCCAGGACAGAATGTGTTGGAGAATGCTGGTCAGCGGCCTATGCTCCATTGGGAGTAACAGGCGAAAGTAAGTAAGTAAGTAATATTCTTGGTACTAACGTTGAGTTTGACATTGTATTAATGAACATGTAATGTACTCATCAGTAATGGGAATCAATCTAAATTCTATCAGCTCAAGCATAAAAGACTTATTGTAGATCAAACATGCATATTCAGGAAGAATAGCAAGTTCTATAATGTTATATCCTAATGAAGATTTAATTAGGGGTAACTTCTGAGATCTATTAACGGACTGATATTATTTATATATCTTCTTATTGTATAACTATTCAGTAATTAGAATATGTATATTCATATTCCTCTTATTATAAGCTTCATTTTGACTTACAGACTATTATGATACGATCTACTGTTCTTAAGTTATGTTCACTTGATTGATTACAGTCTCATCACAATCACTCCCACAGCAACTTTTTGACTTGATCTTGTTTAAATGTTATTTCCTATTTAATGGTGTGATACCGTCTGTTTTGTTGGTATATAAACCAAGTATGTTTTGAAATAAATGATTCATATAGTAGTAGAAGCTGTTATTGGCATTCTGTCCTCAACTGGACGAACTGGGCGAGCAAAAGACCCATAATGAAGCTATGCTGCTCATACCGGTCGAACGTTATTGGTTAGTACATTACAAGAGTGAATAAGTCGTATATCGATCAGCGAATAAATTACGTAATAAAAAGCCGGACACAACACACAACGGATTTTATCGAGCAATAAATTATGTCATATTGAACACACAAAACCAAAGCTTTTCAAGTATATACAATACTTCAAAACTATATAGTTAGTATAGATTTAAGTTTGATTATGATGAATATATAGAAACCTTTGTAATTCACTGAATGATATACGACTTGGATCATTTAGAATAGTTATAAAAAGAACTTAGTATGAAACATTTCCGGCCGTTAGTGGGACATAGATTGGATTGAAGCATGCTCAATGCACCATTGCTTTGCTGCACGCTGATTGGCTAATTCTTATCCAATCAGCACTAGTCGATACTCTAGAAATCTTCTCATGTGAAAAACTATAAATATACTAACGTTCTTCCTATTGTACTTCTTACTTCCATCTAACCTTGTTATTTGGAATATAATCACTTTTCCTGTTCAACTGTGTTCTGGTTTGGAGGACTTGTCGAGTGAATTGATATCCGAGAATATAAAGCAATAGGAATAACTGGGTTGTATTAAAAGAGAGAATTATAACACCGGCTTTCTTCGTATAACTTACATTTAACTAAGTGAAATAGTATCATTCGAACAACCTGGAGGACTACGTATATTATGAACTAATCATATATATATTTTATATATCAATAAACAATCTGACTTAACATACCATAACAACTGACCAATAAACAATGAGGTGGTTTTATCTTTTCTGAATTAATCAAACTATTATCTCTTTGATTTTTGTACATAGCAAATCCTTCGAATTCTTGATAGTAGTACTGGCATATATTAGCCTAAAATAAAACATAATAATTAAACTTTAAACGTTCTCTTAATTTTAATTTCTATTACAGTAAAACAAATGAGGGATGGAATTCAATTCAAAAAGAAGAAATAAATTCGAGTAATAATAGGTAGGCGTTGTCTACGTAAATTACTTCGGATCCGTTGGCCAGGCACTATTAGCAACAACCTACTGCGGAAGAGAGCAAACCAAGTCCCAATGGAGGAAGAAATCAGGAAGAAGTGTTAGAAGTCGATAGGACACATATTGAAGAAAGCACCCAACTGTGTTACAATGCAAGTCCCCACTCGGAATCCTCAAGGCCAAAGAAAGAGAAGAAGAATTCAAAGAACACATCACACTGATAAATGGAGACAAACATGAGAAGAGTGAACAAAAATTGGATAGAACTAGAAAGGAAGGCTCAGGAAAAAGTGGATTGGAGAATGTTGGTCGGAGGTCTATGCTCTATCGGGAGTAACAGGTGTAAGTAAGTAACAGTAGGTACGAAATAATATTGAAATTAAAGAATACGAGTACGATAAACTGTGAATACATCTACCCTATTGGAGCTTGAAATATGTCACTCAAATTTGTTATATCTAATTCATCTAGATAGTCTACACTACCTTGTATTGTTTAGAACAATCCTTAATGCATTAATTGCATGTTTTACTTCTATTGCCCTTAGTTTACTTACAGCTAAGTTTACGCTAGAGAACATTAAAGCGGTAGTTCACTACCCATAATATGTATTATAATCAACTTATAAACTTGTAATTTCATTTCTTCATTGCATAATTGAATAACGTAATAACATTGGTGAAATAAATTTGTTTCAGCATCTTTAAATTCTAACTCCGCCTGGAGTCCCTCTGTAGTTACTTCCGGTCCCAAACCCAGATAAAGAAGGAGGGTAGAGGATGAGATTAGCGACCCAACCCCGTAGAAAACTAACTCGCTAAAAAATGCTAACCATGAAAAACAATTCAAACGATTCAAACTTTTCCCTGGGAGTTAGAAGATCTTCATTTAGAAGAGTTGTGACGCCTCATGGTGAAAGCCGTGTTCCTTCAGAAGTCACGACGTAGATGCCACTTCTGACAACCATAGCAACCATTAATTTAGGTATATGGAATTCTCGTAAAGTGTGGGAGACCGAGAGAGTCATAAAAATTGCTGCGCAAATGAGGATATGCAACCTGGAGGTGCTTGGAATCAGTGAAATAAATTGGATGCAGGTTGGGTAACAAAGACTAGCTTCAAAGGAGCTACTGGTATACTCTGGTCATGAAGAAGAAAATGCTTCACATACACAATGAGTTACACTGATGCTATTATCTTCAAATTTTACATGTAGTCAAGAATAATGAGAAAAATTATTAGAAAGATTCACTTGATATTATTTACTAGGATCTTCCTACTGATATTTAAGACCGCAATTGATCAGTCTTTTATTGGCGGCCTATGTGCAACCTGTGCGTATTGCTTCGATATTGCCATAATTCACAAGCTTTATAAGCAAAAAATGATAGTGGCTAGCAGTGGAATCCAGTTTGACGCATGTTTCCTCCTATTTAGGACTCGTTGGAATGATTTCAGTATAGAATAAAAGATTTTGAAATACTTTTATTTGTTCAAAAGCAATTGAATTGAGTAATATACCTAGATTAATAGTAAAATATAAAACATTATACATTTTTTGGTTGAGATCATGAACCGATTGATGTTAGACCACTATTGAAAACCTTTGAAGCACTGGATGGCCGTTTCGTCCTATTGTGGGACTCCTCAGCAGTGCGCATCCACGATCCCGCCCCCGCAGGATTCGAACCCAGGTCCTTCAGTCTTGCGCGCGAACGCTTAATCTATTGAAACGGCCGTCCAGTGCTTCCAGGTTTTCAATGATGGTCTAACATCATTCAGTTCATGATCTCAATCAAAAACGTAACAACCTCTATAACCACTATACTGATTTTATATATTATTAAACATTAATAACTTACTGGTGTAAACAGCATAGTGAATTCTGTTGAACTATTTGGTGCAAGTTCTTTTGATATTGGTTCAATTCTAAAACTGTTTATTTTCTTTTCATATTCATTATAACCATTGACTTGATGATTGAAATTGATTTGTTTATTTAGTGACCAATGAATTAGCATTACATGATTGGTAAAGTTTTGTACAATTAATGTATTTCGTATAGCTAAATGTTCAAGATTTAATTCTAAACCTTGATTGATTGATTTGTTTAATTGTTCTGCACATAATAATGCCTTAGATAACAAGTTTGAATTTGAAGTGAAATCCCAAGTTGTATAATTTAAGGATAATAGCGGTGGATTAATCTATGTTTGGGGAAAGAAAACAATCGTGAAGAAAGGAGTCAAACAGTAAGTCAATGTTGTGATAATCTTATATATTAGAAGAACATGTCCATTCTCTTAACTATTTAAATAACAGGATAGGAGTTGTGGCGGTTGTTAGGTTTTTGAATTGAGATCATGAACTGATTGGTGTTAGACCACCATTGAAAACCTGGAAGCAATGGATGGCCATTTCGTCCTATTGTGCGACTCCTCAGCAGTGCACTATCCACGATCCCACTCGTGAGATTTCAACTCATTAGGATGAAACGGCCGTTCAATGCTTCCAGGTTTTCAACGGTTGTCTAACATCAATCCCTTCATGATCTCAATCAAATACTTAAATAACACTTTTTAATTGGTTCATACTATTTGAAAATTTTTATGGTTGATTTTGAGCTTAGATAAGAGCTCAGCAACTTGCAGTACATAGTCTACACGTAGATGTTAAATGATCATTTAGAATGGTTGCCTACTTTTTAAACATGTTACGTATAGTATGGTATTTTAAAACTGACAAACATACATGTTCCGTTTAATCTAATAAGTTCACAGTAATCATGATCGTAAATTAGTTTCCTTAAAATGAAGTTCAACATTGTAAGAATAGCTTATTAAAAGCACTTACAATTGATTGACCACTAGATGGTGATCAATGTCATATATGTCAAGTCCTTCTTAGCGTAGATCAACCTGGATAGCTCAGTAGTAACGTTTTTAACTGTGAAGCCGAGTGACACGGGATCAAATTCGTCAGAAAGCATCAGTTCCTTCAAGATTACAGGTACACCTTACTGACGAGTGCCAAGCAGCATAAAATCTAGGTCGACGGTTTCCTGTTGACTAACATCAACCACCATTTTAGTAAGAGCACACATATACGCAATCAATTAACCTCAAAATCAATTATTTTTTTTAAATATTACTCACCATGATTTCTGATGATTGCATCATTTCAGAATAAATCTCATAGCCATTTTGATGATTATCATCATCCTTCTGAAATACCTATAAAACAATGAGAAAAGTCAACTTGTACATATCATTAAGAATAATACCACCATTAAATGGATTAGACTGACTAAAATATTATTATGAACTCCTTAACACCTTGTTAGAGATTGGATACTCCTATTATTTCTTCAAGATCATTTTGTTAATAACTTTGAGAAGTAGATGACAAAGATCCGTCTCTCTCTCTCGCTCTTCTCTATTGTTAAACATATAATTGTAAAAGGTTACAAAACTTCTCTCTTCATTTAACATTTATATTTTTCATGCACAGTTCCTTTTATTATCTTAAAAAGAGTAAGAACAAAGATTGGTGTAGCTATCGATATTCTGTAGCGTATTCTCACCAGATGAGTCAGTGACTTGAATGATTGTACAGGGAGACATAGAATATCGACATCTGCAACAATCTTCGTTCTTGCTCTATTTATATTTTTGTACTAAAGTTATCTAAGGCATACACGAAGATATGTTGAATCCTTGATCATGCGAAAATTCATACCATATATATATATATAACAACAGTCTGTTCTCACGCTCAACCCACGCTGGTAATATATAATTCAATCGTTCATTATACTGAGTTTCATATTGCTTTTTCAAATCATTTCATTCATTAACTTCTTGTCTTCTTGCCTTCTATTTGTATTATTGACTTTTTATTTTTTCAGATATAAACGTTCTTAACAAGTATATATGTATCAGAAGGGGTTTTGTGTATATTACAGTAATTTTAATAGTTGAAATCATGAGTCAATTGAAGCTAGACCACCATGGAAAACCAGGAAGCACTGAACGGCCGTTTTGTCCTAGTATAGGACTCCTCAGCAGTGTGCATCCACGATATCACCTCATGAGATTCAAACCCAAGACCTATCAGTCTCGCGTGCGAGTGCTTAACCTCCGGACCACCGAGCCTGCATCCGACGTTGTTAATGTCTAACTTCAACCAATCCACAAAATTGAGTCAAACGTCCATGTATACATGTGATCAGATGGTTCGAAATGTATTGTGCTAATACATCATATAACTCTGATAATCTCATGATTATTACATTATCCAAATTAAGGATTATGTTTCAGGCAGTTGGAAGATTAAAAGTTAAGTGACACATTGCCTTAATTATGCTATAAAAGATAAATATCCGAGATATAATATCGTGTTAATACTGTATAAATATAAACAATGGATTATGTTCAAAACGTCATCGAGTGAATGATACTGAATTATCATGGACTATAAAAGATATTACAGGAAAGATGTCGATAATGAATGAGAAGTAATCAACTATTGATGAAGATATATGAATGATGAAGATTTTCTCGATGCTAACACTGTAGTAGAATTTTATACTAGTTTTTTAATGGTTTGGATTATTCCATTGTGTCGGTATATTCAAATGACAAGTCCCAATTAGGACAAAACGTACATCTTGGATTCTGCTTCAAGCCATATTTCATCCATTATATATGAGATGTAGTATAATTATTTTCCTTGAAATGTCCAGAAAAATAATCTGCATTAATGATGATGATGATTGTTTCGATCTTAATGGATCAACATAGAGTTTAGAGAACAGAACTATGAGGCTGATATTAACATCATACTTTCAAATCTAACCTCAGTACCGTACATTCAAGGGTCGATGATGCATGTGCTACATACCCGTCCTACTTAATATTTCTTCCAACTAATCTGCTTTGATATAATAATCGCGTTAGGCAAGTTAAACCATCACATCAAGATTAAATTAGACAGTGTTATGGTACAATTGAAATCAGGTTGTACTGGACAAACATATCAGTAGTAAAGCAGTTTTCACCACTAGGATTAGATGACTTCGTCCCATATCACGAATATATTGAGTTTGAAAATGTATACCACTGAATACCAACCAGTGGTTTAATGTTTAAACACGATCAGTGGTCTTGAGTGCTGTTAGAGGTATGAGGGCAGTTATCACTTTCCTATTGCCCACACCGTGGAAGGGTTCTTCTGAAGGTACCTGAAAGAGAAATTGGGTTAAGGATGGTATTAGTGACCTGAGAGCGTGACCGCAGTGCACAAAGGACAACTGCTTGAGGTTGGTCACACACGACCTTTTTGTGAGTAATTTTTGTGCTAGCTCTTTAATTGTTGAGACCTTACTGCCGGAGACGGATATCTATGGGCTAAGGCCAGATGCGCATTTTTCGGATCGACATTTTCTAACCCCACCCCTCCCCATGGAAAGGCAGCATCGCTGTTATGCTGGTTGTCTGAAGGAAACACCTTACTGCCACCACACTTCTGTACAGTAAGCAGTACGACTTGGCCTTCGGACCTTGGGTTTGTTGCTTTTAGTTTTACCGCTCTTCGACCGACTTGTCTGGCATGGTAGGATCTTGAGGAGCGATTGTTTCAGCCAATATAGCTCGAAGGGTTCATCACGATAGGCAAACCCGGCCACCACATCAAGGTAGCAACAACGGTTGGGAGTTTAAGCACACGTCACAAGACATGAAAATCCTGAGTTGAATGTCTACTGGAGTCGTAAATGTTTAATATATAAGAGTTCGTCCATATGACAAAACACTTTTCCAATACTGCCTAGTCTTCAATAGTACCCCATTTTTAGGTCAATATATGAAAAACACCATCTAAAGATTAAATCAGTTTACACAAGAACACTTAAACGATATTATTTCCATGTTAACTAAATTAGTTTATGCTTTCGATTGACCATGAAATCAATTAGAAATAGGCTTATAATAATTAAATTAAACAAACTTACATCTATTTGATTGTCCAATTGTTGATTACATAATTCTATATTCATTAAATGTTTTGGTTTTAAATGAGGTGGTCTTTCAATTAAATCATGACAAGTACCAAGTAAATGCAAAAATTGTGGTTCCTTTGAAATTTATTCATTGTACATTGCACACACACACACACACAAAAGAAAAACAACAATTCAGTTAACAATGTTAATTCATAAATGATATGGTAAGTTCTGAAATATGGTATCTGACTGGAAATGGTTCAGTGATCATCTTTTAGTAAAGATTAGTAAGTTAAACCCACCTGTAGCTCTCTTATAGTTACTGCCGGTCCTAAACCCACCCAAAGGAGAAGGGAAGGGCATGAAGTCGGTAACCACATCCCGTAGAAAAAATCTTGCTAGAAAAAACGCCAACCAGATTAAACAAATTAAAGAAACAGTTCAGAATCAATTATAAGATTTGGACTTTGCAGATCATCTAGCTCTGCCATTCTATACACACCAACAAATGAAGTCGGGGACAACTAGTGTAGCAGAAGCATCTGCATCAATAGGCCTTAACATACACAAATGAAAAACCAAGTTTCTCACATACAACACGGAGAACAACCCAGTCACACTTGATGGAGAAACCCTGAAAGATGAAGAATCCCTCACGTACCTGGAAAGTATCATCGATAAACAAGGAGGATATGAACGCAGACGTAAAGGTGAGGATTAGCAAAGCAAGGGCCACATCCCTACAATTGAAGAACATATGGAACTCCAAACAACTTTCAACCAATATGAAAGTCAGAATTTTCAATACGAACGTCAAGACAGTCCTGCTGTAAGCGGGCTGAAACTTGGAGAACTACAACAACCATCATCAAAATGTACAGTTATTTATCAACATTTGTCTACACAAGATACTCAACGTCCGTTGACCGGATACTATCAGCAACACCCTTCTGTGGGAGAGAACAAACCAACTTCCAGCTGAAGGCGAAATTAGGAAAAAACTATTGAAATGGACAGGACGTACATTACGCAAATCATCAAACTGCATCACGAGGTAAGCTCTGACTTGTAATCCTGAAGAGAAGCAGGAAAGTGTAAGGCCAAAGAACACATTACGTCGGGAAATAGAATCAGATATGAAAAGGATGAATAGTAACTGGAAAGAACTGGAAAGTATTGCCCAGACAGGGTAGAACTGAGGGTGTTGATGGAGTAAATGGTGTAAGTAAGTAAGTTGAATGGTTTGTACATGTGAAATATAAATAAATCCAGCGGCCTTGAAGAATATTTTACATTGGTTACATCGGCTGGAATTATAAAACTTTAAATTAACACGTTAAGAGGATAAAATGTCAAGTGAAGGAATTCGATGGTATAAAAGTTTCTAGATGTATCAGACCAATAGAGCAGTTAAAAAGCCGATTTAACTAGTATTGAACTTCTATGTAGAGTCACTATTCTAATGGCATTTAGATCTATTGACAGTAGATGTTTAAAAATGTCTTTTTTCGAAAGAAAAACGAAATATATGGAATAATAGGTTAATGATTATCTTATTATACTTCAGTTAATCAAGATCAATGATTATAATAGAGACAGTGATCATGAGATTTATGCGATAAATACCCATTAAAAATTTGTGGTGTACATAGTGGTAATGATTGAATACCTTAGATTCTATGTATTTAATTCATGAATCGATTAAAGCTAGACAATCATGGAAAACCTGGAAGCACTTGACGGCCGTTTCGTTCTAGTATGGGACTCCTCAGTAGTGTGCATCCACAATCCCGCACACAGGATTTGAACCTAGGGCCGTCAGTCTTGTGCGATAACGTTTATCCTTCAGATTTGTTACTCAAAGTCGATCACATTGACCAACGAAAACTTGTGACTTAAAGCAATATCGGGGCAATCCGCATAAGATGCACATATACCAACAACAGACTGATCGATTGCATAAATATCGGTGGAAAGATATAAACATCCAATACAAAATGAATTTAAACTTCACCCCATTGTACAAGCAAGCGGCTATCTGGACTCAGTAGCTTAGTAGATAATACGATGACAATTGAAGATAAAGTCACTGGGTTCGAGTGTCGCAGTGAACATCAACTCTAGGATAAATAAACATAAAACTGCCAAGTCCTAAATGCGACGAAACGTGCGTCTTTAATTCCGCTGCTAGTCACCATCCATCCTTGCTTAAAATGTAAAGTAAGCTATGAAAAAAAGCAGTAATAAAATAGCAACTTGGTACTCTAGGAATATTACTGATTCATGTATAAATTTACCAACCGAACCGAGAAGTAAACCGACGCAGCTAGTTTTTTTAGTGAGTCACACCCGGAGCCTTTGACCTAAAGTCTGATCCACAAGGCCGTGGAGCAATGTCAGGAGATGCAGTCCCATGATAGCTGGTTATCAACGATTGGTTCATACGCTATTTGTTCTCTCAAGACCCTGGATCCCATGTGCACGATTGATTTTGAATCAGGGTTGTCCAACTCCCCTAGGTGAATCTTCCATATCTACCAACCCGTTTAAAACGCCGTACATTCACTTTTTGACCTCTCATTTTCGTAAACAACAGTAGTGCCGCGAGAAGGCAGTGAGTAGGACTTCCTTGTCAGTGGTTGTATGCAAGTGGCCATATGAGAGCATTTGGAAAGGAATAGCTGACTCTCCCCGCTATCGGCTGTACCAGGGCATTTGAGTGTACTAATAGACACACTTAATATCGTTGAGCATTTATCAGTCTTTAGAATCAATATTCCACTGTTAAACATTATGGGCGCCTCACAACCAAATAAAAACAATAATGATAATAATAATAATAGTAAAAGTACATACTTGATTACAGACTAACAAAGTAAATCGACGATAAAAATGACCTGCTACTTGTGGACAAAAGCCAATAATCAATTGTAGTGTTTCTTTTGATTTAATAATACCATTTGATAAACCTTTTATTATTGGAAATACTGTAGATACAATAGTACATGATTGATCATTTTTATTTGTATAAATTTTTGATTGACCAGTTAATAATTCATAGACTGTTGAACAGTCTGAATGATTTATTATATTCACTATCTGATGTTGCAGTTCACCAATTTGTGTTATTGGGAATGTACAGTAGTTTGTTGAAAGTTGTATATTTACATCTGAAGTAAAGATTGAATTAAAGTATCCTATTATAAATTTGTTGTTATAATGAAAATATACAAAATATAAACTTTTATATTGTTTAATCACTGAGTAATAACCAATATGATGTTTGTCTAATTGGTCAAGTTGTAATGTATCTAAGTAGATTGACATTATGTTGTTGCTAGACTTAATTAATAGAGTACTATAAACCAAGATTTCGAGCTGGTTAACACTTATTAATAAGTCATATCACCAATTTTCGGAGGAATTGATGCTACCTTCAGGTACACTTTCCTAACGCGTGCTAACTATTATGAAACTTATATTTAGGGTTGACTGTCATCGGAACCAATGAAAATGTGATCATTTGATTTCAAAACCGAAGAGCCCTTGAATAGATAAAAACAATGATAATTTTCGAAAATCGACTTTATCTTTTGCTTGAAATTACTAGATTATAATATCTGCAAGTCAACAACAGAAATGTAAAATTAATTAATTCTTTGTCTATCTATCTATTTATCTATCATATCCATTAAACAAATAATTTTAATCGAGATCATGAATCGATCAGCGTTAGACTATCATTAAAAACTTGGAAGCACTGGGCGGACATTTCATCCCAGTATGGGGATCAGTGAGAACTTCGGACGGGCTATTGATCATTGGTTATATACGGTAACTGAGTTAACATACTTGCTTTTAGTAGGGACAGCAAAGACGTAAGAACATAATTCTGTCCTATATTGTGCGTTTTGTAGTTTCATTTGTTGTTGTCAAACTATATTTCCATGTTCGGTTTTTTTATCACAACAGTGTTGGCTCTTGCCAATTTCTTTGCTTGAAAAGAAGATATGAACTTTGACAACCTGGACTGACATGTTTATGTAAAGTTGTTTGTTGTTCCCAGTTAACCGACTTTATAGATATAATTGAGAAAGTTACTGAATAAGTAAGCTAAATTTTCCGAAGCATTTATAAATATTTTGCATTGCGTTATATTATGCCATAGATACACAAAACATATTTTGTTCTTTAGTTCAGTTAACTTTTGACTATACATGATGTTTGTATGAACTAACGATTTCCTTGTACTTGATAACTGCTTGGTTTCGAATTCCAAATACAATACGTTTTTCGTGCTCATCTAGTTCTTCTTGGTTAAATTGCGTTATTTTTGGGACTACTAATTCGTACAATAATTCAAATACTCATAATCATCACATTATATCAGTTATGAGCCTTTGATTAATGCTTGTATACTTTGCTAGGATTATTTATCAATTATAATAAATTAATTCCTGAAATTACAGTAAAAACACTTAGGACAGAGTTGTGTACTACTGGCGAGTAATGAATGAAAGTTTTGTCGAATTGACTTTATTATTTAGTGAGCTTGCAGTGTCGGTTACTATGTTAAGCTCATATAACTTATTCTAGTCCAATTTATCCATTCTATTTGAGTCATATTTTGATCTTGTTAATTATTCATTTACCAATTCTGACTGTTTTTATATAAGCGCATATGTGTGTACACTTCCTAATCTAATTATCAAATGTCTGTAGCTTATTTTTGTGTGACTATAAATATTGACTAACACTTAATTGAATGGAGGTGGCTCACACGCCTTCACTGCGCGTCGTTCTGTTTCCCTCTCTTCTCTCTGCTTCGTCCCTCTGGTTGTCTGCTCAAATCAATGAGTGTACAAAATATATGTTTTCAAACATCCATTCTCGTATTCAACTTATTTAATTCTTTTATTCACCAAAGCGATCTAAGTCAATTATTGCATACGAGGATTGACGATATATATATATATATTTCGACAGGAATCAAACATACGATATAACTGGAGTCAGATCCCGGGTCACTAAAATTCTAAAATCTTCAGCAATAAAATAAATACTTTATGTCCATTTTTAAATTGACAATTACACAAAATTCAATGTACAAAATACTCAAGGTTCATGAAACAATAAAAACAACTATTATTAACCTGACCTTTAGATTTTCCTTTACATTTTGTCATTGTTTCTCCATAACTGTTCAATGAACAAGTTTTGAAATAGCCCACATCATAAGCTTTTGTCATTCTTGGAGTGTAGGTGAACTTCACTATGGACATATAGAAATCATAAATGAAACAATCACTAGCGTATATGTATGTATAACGAAACATTATTGTATATAATACAACCTAATTATCAGCAGAGTAAAACTGTAGCTAGCTTCAACTTTATACTGACTGATTGGTTAATATTATTCGGTTCGGTTTTGTTTAGCTTTTTTGTACTGACCAGTGTTCTGATCAAGCAACCAGTAGCTTGCCTTACTCTATGTATCAATGTACTTTAATTGGCACTAATTATTTGAAAGTGGTCAAAACGAAGCATCCCATGTATTGTGCTAATTGAGGTTCGTTAGTAAAGCCTATCTGAAACCCAAAAGAAAATAAGATCTTATGTCATAGCTAGCTCTATATCAGGGTAAACACTTTATCCAGATTATGGATGAAGCTTAATCACGAAATTCAAACCATTTATATCATATTACATTTGTTTTACTATCGGTCATACAAAAATAAATGTCACGTATTTGATATTATTTAATTAATTATTCAACCTATGTAGAATTTTAACTAGATATTTACGAATTATTCGGAAGGAGCTGTTTAAGTATCTCGATAAAAACCGGATCCTCTCGGAGAAGCAGCATGGCTTCAGAATAGGTTATTCTTGTCTCACTAACTTATTAGTGGCTCGTGAAAGCTGGTGCGCTCTTAAGGACCAAAAGCTACCTGTAGACGTCGCCTTCATTGATTTCAGTAAAGCTTTTGATAAAGTTCCGCACAACCGGCTGTTATATAAGTTAAGACATATCGGGATTGGAGGTAATTTATTGATGTGGATAAAAGACTTCTTAGTTGGGCGTCAACAAAGAGTAAGGGTGAACTCAAAGTTATCTAGCTGGGAAACTGTGCTTAGCGGAGTGCCCCAGGGTACAGTTTTGGGGCCAGTGCTATTCCTCTTGTATGTAAATGACCTTCCTTGTCTCCTATCATCATCGGTCTTGCTATATGCTGACGATGTCAAGATATGGAGAACGATACGATGTAAGAGTGATAGCTTAGAACTTCAAAATGACCTGAAGAAGTTATCTGAATGGTCTCAAACATGGCAGTTGCCGATAAATACTTCCAAGTGTGTTGTGATGCATATCGGTCATCAAGGCACAGATACATACACGATGAATAACACTGAGCTACCTGTCGTCCAGACATATAATGACTTAGGAGTTATCGTTAGTCAAGACTTAAAGACTACTGCACACTGCCGTGCAATAGCCGCCAAAAGTTTTAGAACGTTATGGTCAATACGTAGGGCTTTTAGTCATGTCGACACTAAGACGTTTTTGACTTTGTATACAGTGTTCGTTCGTCCTAAACTTGAGTACTGCATACAGGCGGCTAGCCCCTGCTTTAAAAAAGACAGTGAGCTTCTGGAAAAGGTTCAGAGAACGGCGACTAAGCTGGTTCCCGCAATAGCGAAGCTTCCGTATGAATCTCGACTGGCCAAGCTGAACCTTTTCCCGTTGTCATATCGCAGAACTAGAGGCGACTTGATTACAGTCTACAAATTGCTTAGTGATAAATTTGCACCTAACATGCCCTCATTTTTCTTGTCTTCCAAAACAGAGAATTTACGAGGACACTCCAAAAAAGTTCATAAGCCGAGAACAAATTACTTGTCAGCTGACTATCGACTTTCCCATCGAATCATCAACGAGTGGAATTCACTACCTCAGCACGTCGTTGAGGCTCCATCCGTCGACTCTTTCAAAAGAAAGTTGGATCAACTGAGAGACCACCATTGCCAGGACTAACATAGGCCATCGAGCCTCCTGTCCTTCCCAAACTGAAACTGAAACTGAAACTTAATAATTATTTCATCTAATGTAACTCTTTCACAACTTATATTGATTTGTGGTCCCGATTGTCCAGGAATGGTGACTACTGATACGAGCGAACAAGAAACCGTAATTTCATCAAAGTCAGTGTTCCGGCTAAATGGCTTGATTTTTATCGAACTATCAACCCATATTGTGGTTCGAAATTTGAAATGCAGATTGTAGAAATTTGTAATATGAAATAATCGTAAAAAAATGGCACTATAGTCAGACATACAAACTAACCGAAGCTTTAGTAGCCATTTGTAAATAAACCAAGAAAAAGAAGGGCTCAACTTTTCGTAAATAAACTTGACAATGCATATATATATTACATGTAACTTGGTACCTCTTTCCTAAACGACATTGATACCAGGGTATTCTGGAAGATGTACTCGAGTGATAAATATCGACGAATCAGCAAATTTATCACGAAAGAGTATAGTTATAGGAAGAAAGAACGATACATTTAATTGGGCATAGATGTCACCTAGATCGATGACCACATTGCAGCTTCGCCGACAGGAGTTGACATTCACTAGAGACTACACAAACATGACGTCGGTCACAATCCAATGATACGTTGACGTAAATGCTTCAATCTTATATGAGGTAAATAGCAACTAAAATATCTCAGTAGTAATTTCTATATAGTTCTAAACAGGAGCTCCAAAGTTCAGTCTTCCCAAACAATCTCCTTTGTTAATTCAATCCCATTAATCCGATGAATAGACTTATCGTCTGACATATTTCAAATAATGACGTGCTACGAATGTTATGGTTTTCAAGGTTACTAAAAATTATAACGAACAAGCATGCGAACTTCAAATTTAGATAGAAAAGTTGTCCGTTTGTATCTTATCCTGTATTTAAGTAAACCCCATCGAACTTGGAGACTTTTGGCGATTCCGGGAGTGGTTATATCAAAGAAAATGGTATATTATAACCATTAACACTTGTTTAATCGCATTGCACTCCTACGTTGACTCCAAGTGACGCTCGTATTTCCACAGTGTTTGAGTGGAAAAGAAGTGTTGGAACTGTATAGATAATAGTAAAATTTTCATTGGTTATTTTATTTTTTTCAACTTCTTATAATCAGTGCTTGATGTAGTTTGTGTTATTAAGGTCAGTTAATGAATCATTGCCAGAGACTGTGGCTCTTTAAATAAAGTATCTAATCAGTAAAAATCCCTTTATATCTAAGGGAACTATTGAGTTATATTCAGTTTCTTAGCACTACGTGTCTGTCAATCACCTTATTCTTAAAACTGACGGTAAGATCTCTTTTGCACAGAGCACACATGTCTATCATAGTAGCTAAAGGGGTTTTAAAGTCGTTTTTCATAGTTAATAAGTTTCTTGGTTTCCTCACTCACTGTGTTTATTTGATAGTTTCATAATAATTGGTTGCCCATTGTATAAAAATTGACGTTAGAGAACTAAATACAGTTCTAAACTTAAGTTTTGATTCATCAATAACAAAATAATATCAAACGGCCAGTCTGCTTCTAGTTCAAACTATTCATTTTTGGGTATTAAACGTCGAAAAAACCCTTGGTTCGAACGGAAACTTAAGGGTTTCAGGCACTCGCAATGCTGATCTATGTTCCATCCTTGTGATAAGCAGCTTACTGCTGGAGAAATTGTTGAACATAACTTACCAATTTAAATCAAACTCGATGAAATTGCAGTGCCAGTGAAATTCCACTGAGCCCTAGCCAATTTATTCTGCGGTTGGGTCGTTGATTATCGAGTAAATCATCGATCCTCGTCAAGGTGAGGGACAACCAACGCGCATCAGTTAATCGTATGCCATGGACTGGCCCATGCGGCAGGAGTCTTAATTTCGCTTGTATCTACTTTAACTAATATATTTCTGTAATAACGTCCTCTGTGTTGTACAGTCTTCAAAGCATCTACAGTACCTTGATGTGTCTATGGGGTAGTCTACGTAAGGTGCTGACCACAAGGTGTGACTTCGACGTTACCTAGTTTGTCACACCATTCACGTTTAACTGCAGTAGGCCTCCAAACATTTCGACATGGATCATCTACGTTGGTGATCTACACTTGTGAGCAAGACTTCGAATAACGCAACCTATCATTATAATCTTTATTATTGTGTTCTATACTTATTCTTTTTCACTTTTATCATCGCATATGTTAATCTATTACTGTGAACTTTCGTTGCTTCATATCAATATTGATTGGTATTTAAACTTAAATAATTAGTTCAGTCGATAGAACTAACTAATCAACTACGATTATAATGGGCTATCGTGGTTCTTTAACAAGCATTAGCAGCATGCGAATGCTCCTGTGTAATATGTCTGTTAAAATATCAACTAGTGAGTATAGCCAAAAGGCAACACGAACGTGCATCTGTTTGTAGCTTACTCACTGGTATAAGCAAAACAAGATTAACTGTCGACCATAAATTCATCTTTCTGCTTAACCACTATCAACTAGAATGTTTTACTTTTTTATGGCCGCCTGCCTAATTTCCAATTGCTGAGTTTCATAGCCATACAGAAGATACGAATGCTAGAAATTTACGGTGAGTTTGAACTACAAATTTTCTGCAATCTTAGATCTCGTTTAGCCTGTCCGTCAAGCAATGCTACGTATTCGGCTTAAATTAATTCTGGACTTATACAAATTCAGTCTACAACGCCGTGTTAATCCAAGAATTTATTCAACAGTACCTCATATGTAATCCAGATTCGAACCGCTGTCTACTTCATATCTTCATTAGTTAGAAGCGAGAGTAACACAGGCAAGTTTCATAATTTCATTAGATCATTTTGTACTATATTTATGATGCGTGATAACATTTAGTAGTCGCTTTGACGTAAAGTAGTTATATATTCTGTCACTGCCGTCAACTTTCAGTCGAAATCATTTACATTTATTACTCGTTAGTGGACATACTGTGTTAAAACATATTGCATGTACACGAGCAATCTTATTCCGTGTCCTAAGTGGACAATTTGTCAATTAACGCTAGGTAATAAGCTCTTTGTACTATCCTTTTACGAAATGTCCGCGTTACCTGAACCCTCTAAACTTTGGTCACATTGGTAGCTACCATTTTAATTAATGTTTACTATACTCATTGTATTTGCTATTATTTCACACGGTAAA